TTGTCGACTGAAGATTAGAACGATTGTGAGTTTTCTTGAATTTCAGAATGTCTCCACAAGTTGTCGTGGGTTGAGGAAAAAAAAATGCCACTTAACTTCAGACACGTTCAGGCTTGCTACCCCCCCCCCCCCCCCCCGTCCTCCCACTTGCAAAATCTCAAGGTGCTTTGCATGGGTGACTTAACCCACCTCTAACCCCAAGCTACGCCAGGCACTGAAGCGTGCGAAACTTATGAAGCCGGGTATTGCTGTACGGCCCAGTGCTTGTCTGAAATTGTAATTTAAGGTTCTGCCACAAACTAGTCCGGTACAAAGGTTGTCAAAGCGAGGCTCTGTCAAGACACGCCCACTGTTTAGATGTAGGCAACATTAAATGGGGTAGATGAAAAAGTTTTTTAATACAGAAATACCTTTACGTATACGGATTCAGGAGCATCAGATGTTTCGCAATTTTAAGATTTAATAATGGAGGGGGGGGGGGGGGAAATCGGCCACTCCTGCGCTGAATAGTGTCACAGTGGACTGAAAATATGACTTAAAGTGCGATTTAATTAGGCATGGGTTGGTTTAAGTTTTCGATGAATAAAAGCAGCTTTTATCCTAATTTATAAAAGCCCAATGTGCGCACATCTCTCTCTCTCTCTTTCTCTGTCCGCAAAAAATTTTCGCCGGACATCACGTCAGAATCGGCAGCGATATATCGAGAATTTTTTACGGACTTTTGTTGAAAATAATATGTTAGATGTTTTAAATGTATAACCACAATTTTATTTAAAGAAGAAAAATAAAAATTTAAGGCGTATTCGAATGTAGAGAAACAGTATTATTTATGCAACCGGAAAAGCATTAATATATGTGAAAAAGAACGCATAAAACTGTGACGTCACTATTGCTTATACATTAACTATTGACGTCATCTGCCTAAATAGCGAAGATGTTAGTGTACATTAAACCACGCAGGTGGTGCGGGTTCGAGACACACCAAGTCAACTTGGTTAATGTATTTATTTTTATTATGCTCGGGCTAAACTTAAAAAAAAATTCTTTTAGGAATCTAGATCTAGATCTAGATTGTCGGGTGTCCGATAGGGCACTTCCCGGCGCCGCAGGCGCTTCAAATTTGGCAGGATCTTGCCTTGGGGCGACAGAACACGGGGGCCGGTTGGCCGAAAAGTCTACGATGAGGGGGTCAAAACTGACCTCGACTGACCGGTACCTTATATGAGCTATAAATCGAAAAAAAATGTCCACGGATTAAACCTCTTCATAACTCTTGAGGTCGTAGACCGACCCTCGGGCGAATTAATTAAGCATGCAAATTCTCAATGTTTTCGAAAGCCTAAGCGAAGCTGGGCAGCATGCCTAGTGTTTAAAAATAAAAATGGTAAAACTTAAGTGTCTTACACTTTACTCATTTTAGTTTAATGCTACAGGTTTATATGTATACTAGAAGTTTAGTGAAATGTTAAAAAAAATGCGAATGCTGCAACGAGATTTAAAATTATTGCATCTAGAATCTAATAGAATCTTAACAGGAAACTTTAATTCTTGACTCAGCTACCCCTTCTCCTAACACAAATTTGTGTGACGAAATCTGTTTCTCCAACGTAAAAGAGTGGTCGACACGAAACCACATGACCCCAAACACGCCATTGTCACCTAGTCCACGGATGTTTGAAGACAGTCACCTCCCTTGAGCGTTTACACCCCCACCCACCCAGCCAACATGTATGGCGACATGCGCGCGAGGTTGGGTTAGTAAAAATACAGGAAATCAACGAAACAATTTAGAAATCCCATGTAGCAGACATTGCTTATAGAATGTCCGTTGCTTAGTTTTTTTTTGGCATGTTCAGTAAGACCAACTCAGATTAAATTAAATAAGCTCTGGTAATACATACAACGAGTAAATGTACCTCCCCCACCCCACTCCATTTAACACTTGAAAACTCAAGACGGGTATGCCAGTGAATGAAATTTAAAAACTGGTTAGATTAGACCTATGAGAAAAACAGGTACCGGTATTTAAATATTTAAATGCAAACAGGTGAGGGGGTGGGGTATCAGTTGTATGAATAGCAGATAGATTTGCTCAATCCCATGCTCATCAAAAGGACAAGTAGTTGCAACTAGCTGTTGGGTTGGGGAGGGGGAGGGAGGGGAATATAAATAGATAAAATAAATTAACGTATTTTGGATTGGGCTACAGTTTACTAAGTCATTTATACGGTAGTAGATACACAAGTCACCCCTATAGTGACGAAGCAGATAATTAAATTTCAATAGCTAGTTTAGTTTTATAACCCATGGTGCAATTTTCTTCTCACAGTTCTCCCCTGAACATGCAACATTAAATTGCAACTTTTGTTCTGTAGTAATCCGATGTCAATCTGTTGTAAACAGTGGCGTAGCCAGGATCGTCTCAAGACGGGGGGGGGGTTCCAATTTTTACCCGGGGACAAACATTTGATGAGCACCCCCCCCTCAAACTTTAGATTTGCACCCCCCTCAAACTTTAGATTTGCACCCCCTCAAACTTTAGATTTGCACCCCCTCAAACTTTCGATTTGCACCCCCTCAAACTTTCGATTTGCACCCCCTCAAACTTTCGATTTGCACCCCCTCATACTTTTTATATACCGAGGGGTCTATGGGGGGGGGGAGGGTTGACCCCCCCCTGCCTACGCCACTGGTTGTAAATATCACGTTTGTTTTAAAGTTTACAAATATAACTTATAGGCCTACAATATGAAACTTCACTACACTGTGTCGTGTTGTCGTCGTCCCCCCCCCCTTGCACACCCGGGTATATTTGGTGCCCTTGTAGCCTACCTATGGTAATTAGTTCTGCAACAGCCACATTGCAAAATGGCACAGGTGTCTGTAAACAACCCTCAAACCGCACCCCACATCACCCACAACTACCCAGTTCCACTTTCAATTCTATCAAAACACGTCCTCTACACATATTAGCTACTACATTCATTTCAAAAACCACGCCAGAAAAATTGGTTGAAAAGTATGTATCACTTGTTAAAGAGCATGTAATTCTATTATCCTAAGAAGCTACGGACAACAGTCAAGAGACCCGTCAGGGGAGAGAATAGCGGTTGTGCATGGTGAGTGTTTGCTGCGGTGGTGTAGATAATCTCCCATTACATCACCGGGTATACATTCATCCGCGCACGGCTTGCCAGTTGAGCTGCAAAACTTCTGACATTCTTGGCTTGCCAGATAAACTGATAAAATAATTTGGTTTTTAAGATGTGTATTATTATGAATTAAGTTGCATACTATATATAAATTAATGTTAGTTAATGGATTAAATCTTGTTTACTTAAAACTAATCTGCTTAAAATTGCAGCTTGTTTTCTGAAGTCGTTATAGATTTATATTTAAATTAATCTTCTTTCTTTATAGAAACTAAGTGCATAAGCACATAATACTGTTATGTTTTCAATGTTTATTTCTACTGTTAACTATATATGAATACATTGCATATCTATTTTTAGGTACTAATAACATTGGTTGTGATTAGCTTGGGACATGCAACAAAAGGTGTAAAAAAAAAGATGGACTTGTATCAATACACTTTAGGGATTAAAAAATAAATAAATGGGAAGACTCCCCCCCCCCCCCCCCCACCATTTGCCAAGCAGATTGAAGACTAGACCCATGTTTATACTAGTAAAATTTTCTTATAATTTTATAATTATATACCCTGTTATCTCAAATTTTTGTTATATTTACAGACCTGTCATGGGTAATGAATGACTTCCTGATGTCTGGTGCTGAGACACCACCACCATGCACCACCACCACCATGCGGCAACACCATGCACCATGTGGCCACCAATCATCAACTAGCATTGTTTTTTTTTGTAGCCTTCAATGGCATGAATCAAATTTTGCGGAATAAAATCCTTGTACATTGTTTATCTTGTCTTTGTATTTTTGTTTAATTTAATGTAACGTGAAGTAAAGTAGCTTTTTAAGAACTTTTTAAAGCGGGTAATGTCTAGTTATCTGTGCCATAGTTCCTGGCTTGCTTCAGTACTCATTAGATTTGATCTCAGTTTTTAACAACCTGTAAATCACACATGTAGTTGGGTTTGAACTAAATACTTAGATATTCTAGAACTACACATTACGCCCTTCCCGGTGTCCGGGGTCAAACTTTCGATTTGCACCCCCCACTCAAACTTTTGATTCGTAATTTGCAGACCCCCCCCTGAAACTTTCAATTTACACCCCCCCCTCTTAAACTTTCAATTTGTCTTTCAAACTCATTTTGGCGCCCCCCCCCCCCCCCCCCCGAGGTCGGCGCCCGGGGACATATGCCCCACCGCCCCCCCCCCTCGCTACGCCACTGCATTACGCCTTCCACCCCCTACCCTACTGACCCAGCAACATTGTCTTCACAAGTCACCCTAAAATTACATCTGCTGTAAAGTATTTGGTAAGCATTTAAGGAAGCTGGTAGTGCAAGACGGCTAATCTATAAGTCTAGAGTTTGGATCCCAGGCTCAAGTCAATAGGAAGCTCCAGAGTCCAACCTGGTCTGAGTACCTGACTCAAGTTAATGAAACAAAGGTGGCGGAGGTCACTGAAACAGATGGACTCTACTTCATCTGCCCTGTGTCTACTAAAGCAGGAGATGTTGAAAGGAAGCTAGGTAAAAGTGTAGTTTGTGTCTAGCGATGCTGCCAGTTGTATAAACATAAGTCAGACCTGCTTATTGCGGACTGTAAAAATGTGCCACCTAATGTAGGCCTACAAAAATCATTGTAAACTTTAAAAAAATCAAAACAAAAGGAATAACTTTTTTCAAATTTTATTTCTAAACAAACTTTTGGCACAGAACACATTTGAATAAACCTATTTACTATTGATGAAAACATAACATTATACCTTAAACTTGCACACTAACAATTTTACAGCTGAAATAAGAATAGGCCTAAAATTATATATTAAAATACTTGCAAAGAATATTTTGCGTTATAGGAATATTGGCCTAGGAATATTGGCCGCATGATGTTGAAATTTTTTTTTTGCCCAACTCTTTGTAATTTGGACAGTCTACTATAAGTGAATAACTTTTGGTTTATAAATATAATGCACATGAGTAAAAGATTAAACTATACATCACAGCTGTTTTCAAGAACAGTTTAGTCATGGTCCCACATTAAGATAATAAACATCAATTCAACTATTGTAAATACAGAATGAAGATGCTCTTAAAATGTAGGCTTTTAAGGACATTCAATTTTGAAGACTGCTGGTAGATGGTAAATAAAATAAAAAATCAACTCACAATTAATGCTGTAACTTAATTTGAAAGTGATTGTCAATATAAAAATTTGAAGTCATGGTCAGTATAGGGAGAGTCAAACTGAGAGTTAAATAGATCTGATGAAATAAATATGATCACAGCATGCAAATAGCATGGTCCAGATATCATTGTGCTGGATGCACCATGTCTGGGGTGAGAATTCTAATAAATGTGGACATTTTAACCTAGACTGATGTGCTGCAAGGACAGGGGCTCAACCATGTCTTCCCACAAGCATGCAAGATAGTATGGTTTGTAGTCCGTTATTTGCCCTTTAAGTGAATCTGGTTTTAGCCAGACACACAACCTCAATCAGTAGATTTTTTTTGCACAGAAAATACTTTCAACTGGGCTTACACCATGCCTCATTTTTATTAAACCCTTAAATTTTTAGAATAAACCTTTGAATAATAGTTTTATTTTAAATATTTTTTTTTACACAATACATTTCATACTAAAAATATAAATAGGGAATTTGGCTGTAAGGAATAGAATAGTTGTAAAGGCTTATAAAAAATATCACAGCTTCCAAATAATGAAATTGTTTTTTTATACAACATCACATTCTCAGGCTAGAGAAGAACTTTGAAAATAATGTTAAACAATAGAAATAAGCTGGTACAATATGGCTTAACATTCTTGCTATATAAAATAATAAATTATTAATATAAAAAAGGTACATTAAAAATGTCAATATTCTTGAGACTACCATTGTATGGCACAAAAAAGACATTTTAATTTAATAAGAGATCAACTAAAATAAAACAAAATTAACTTTTAAATTGATGTATATACATTTTAAATACAAATTCATCGGTATAATTTTAACACATTTTATGTTACAAATACATCGGTATGATTTTAATATACTATTTTATTATACGATCTGAATTTATCGCCTTTTGATGAAAGCTGAGTGGACGAGTCTGACTTTACCACTGGGAGCACCAGGCATAGACAAGCTACTTTTGGCACCCCCAAAGTCTCTGGCACCAAACCCGTCGCCATGTATCCCACCTGTCCTGTTGGAGTCCAGCATTGAGAGAACAGATGCCACATTTTTTAAACTCACTGGCGCTGTTTTTGGCCGGGGTATTTTGGGAAAAGCTTGGGTGAACCACACCTCGTAATCGTCCACGGACATGTCCACTATTCTAGCCCGGCAGAACTCGATGGCGGCCGAGATGTCAGGGTTGCAGATCTCCCAGTGCCTCAGGCCTTCCAGAACCTTCAGGAATTTCAGAACACTTTGTTTGCTTGAACTCTCCACCTGAAGGATCAGACAGACATATTCAATTACTAAGTTCTAAATGGTTTCATTTAGAGGATATATAGGCTACATTTTACAATAAATTACAAAGTTCTAAATGGTTTCATTTAAAGGAAATATAAGCTACATTTTACATTGAATAGAATATTACCTAACGACAAAATTAAATTTTGAAATATTTGAAAACACATATGAAAAAAATATTAAAAGTACCCAGAACTGAATTTTTTCAAAATTCGTCATTTCATTTAACTATTTTAAAGGACAGAATATTTATTTTAAAAAGTTTTAGGCTCGCAGAATAGGCCTACTCATAATTCTAAAAAACCCACTTAAATAGAGAAACGATGTTATAACTATCCAATTTACATTTGAAATATATTGCATTTCAGCTCTGAACTTCAAGTTAAATAAAATCTATAATATAATTTAAAAGTTTTATATTCAATATTTGCAAGATTTTTTAAAGTAATTTTTAACACAAATTATGTCTGTAAAACAGTATTTTCCCTAAAATATGTTTACTTAGGTATACAAAAAATTAAAAAGAATAAATATGGTTGGATGCTATTGTAAGGGAAAGGGTAAAATACTAAATTTTATCAAGAATCAGGGTCTAGAACTCTATGTGGCTAAATTTTAGAGTTGGACCAGAGTGACTCCCTTGTTAATTAACAGTAATAAAGGCACACAAAATCTCACTTCTAAATTGGTAGCACATAGATAGCACATGCAAATGACAAAAAAAACAACAACCTCCAGGTGTCTTAATTATAAAAAAATGCATATGCAATTTCAAAACTAAATACAAATGTACAATGGTGCTAAGAAATTAAGTTCAACTTCAAGTAAATCATCCCCTTTATTTTGAATTGCTGAAGTTAAAAGATTTTTTAAAATATTATTTTTATAAATGAAATTGAAAAATTATCTATTATAATTTAAAATTAAGTGAGTTTGATATAGGCCCAAAGCTTTTTTTAATTATCAGTTATTCTACCTCGTTTGTTATGACATTTCAGTATTTCCATGATTAGTGTGGAATAAATATTTAGTCTAATTGTTTAATGTTACCCTATCCCCCACACCTAAATATATTTGGTATGTTAGTCTAAAACGTTAATTAGTTATTGCCTAAAATGTGAAGATTAACGGGGAAGGCTCCGGTAAAAAAAACTTTTTTAATACTCGTTAGAAAACAGTTATTTCTTTACAGCTTTATCAAGATGCATCAGCATATGCATTTCCACTAAAAAAAATTGGTAGAAAAATCTTGGTAACTATGACAACAGCGGCCGTCTTGAAAAATTAACCCCTTCGTAGGTTTTCCACCATTCATAAAATATTACATTTTAAGCCTAATAAACAATTAATTCATAATCTTCTTCCATATTTTGGGGCACTCAGCTAAAAATTTTAAGTGCATATCTTCAAACTAATTTTTTATGAATTTTCAAAATTTGTGTCCGTTCAAAACACTTAACTTTGGGGAATTTTGGGGCATTAAAACTAGTGTTTTGAATGGACATCAATTTTGAAAATTTATAAAAAATTAGTTTGAAGACATGCACTTAAAATTTTCAAGATGGCTGCCATTGTCATAGTTACCAAGATTTTTCCACCAATCTTTTTAGTGGAAATGCATATGCGGATGTATCCTAAAAAATAACTGCTTTCTAACGAGTATTAAAAAAGTTTTTTTTTTTACCGGAGCCTTCCCCCTTAACAGTTTGATTTAGAGAATTTTTAACACACAGTAAATATATTAACCTATACTTATTTAACCTATACTTTTACCTATACTAAAAAAAATTGGCTTATGTGTGGTTTAAAATCAGGGAAATAAATAATTAGCTTGTCATTGAAAAAAACAAAATTAATAAATAATTTTTCGAAAAAATGTTAGCTATAAACCACATTTTAAAAACATATTAGCCATATAAATCACATTTCACACGAGAACAATGAAAGCTTAAAAAAGCCGGGATTTCAAGGAGTGTATACAAGGGTGTCAGTAGAATATAGATTCACACACAAATATTTCAAGTTAAAGCAATCTAAAAACATACTCCTTCATCTTCATTCATCACCTACAAAATACAAAAAAGTTGCAACAAAATACAGTAAATACTACAATTATTTGCTCAATGTGTTCTTGGTAAATAAAGAAGTAAACAAAAATATATTTATGTTTATATGATAGTATCTGTGAATTGATACCATTTAATGAGCTAATTTTAATAGCATTACATAAAAACAGCTCTAACTATTTAAAGAAACAATTACCAGTCCATATTTCCCAAGTTTTTGAATGACTATTTTGTAATACCATAAATCTTTTACTTCAACTGGAAGGCTGTTGATTAAATCTGTATACCTATACAAATTAATATAAACAAACTTATTAATCATAAATTAACCAACCAAAATAAAACTGAATATCAAACTGTTTTTTTTACCAAAAATCAGAAAATCCTCTTGTTGTATTTAAATTTTAAAAATCAATTAACTAACAACAAACTTTGTTTTAAAAAAAACTTTAAATCTGTTCAAGGAAAAAAAAAACTGTTTTAAACTAAAAATCAAATACATGAAAATATTTTATCACAAGAAAATAACTTACAAATGAAACAAAATGATTAGCATGTAAAAATCAAACAAGATAAAATTAAATAACAATTGATAGTACTAAAAACCAGCTGATCAAATAGTGTTTAACTGTTCGTTAACTAATATTTTGTTAATAAGTTAATTATATAATCCAAAAAGGAAATTTGCTGGTTTAAAGTAGGAAAGTTCTCTTTCAAGCTTAACGTTCCATGTGTCAATTGAAGTAGAGTTCACCTGTTCCAGTGACCTCTGCATAATGAAGTCATATGTGGTCAGCACACTTTACTTTGCTTGCATGAGTTAGGTACTTATCAGAGCTGGGTGGACTCAGAGATATTCTACAGAAATGAACCCGGATTCAAAGTCGAGACTTTCAGGTTAGCCATTGTATGCTCTACCATACATAAATAAGTAAATTTATAAAACAATAGAAACAAATAAACCAAATAAATAAATTTATAAATGAAATAAATATGAACATCATTAATTAAACAAATGACTGACCAGCTTCCCCTGAAGGATGACTGTCGTCTGAGATCCTCCGGTCTCACCACCATCCTGTCCCCATTTTTCCTCATGGCATCCACTGCCCTGTGGAAGCTGAGGTGCTTTGTTTTCAGGCAGGTAAATTTGTTTTGGCATTTTGCCAATCTCTCCCTGGATTCATCAAAACAAAATTTTTATCAATCTCAGCACTAAATTAACTATAGCAGTGTTTTGCAAATTTTTTTTTTTTTTTTTTTTACCCCTGTTGGTTTTAAATAATGTTTGGGTCATTGATTAATTAACACTACTTAAAAATGCCGAGAATCCTTACAAGTATCCCACTGTATCCTAAAGTTTTTGTTAAAATGGTGTTAGTTGATACTGAAACTTTGCTAATACCACTGTCTTAACCCTAATGCTGACCCCATATTCCTAACCTTGGACCAAAAACGGTGGAAAAAAAAATATTTGCTAAGTCACTTCAGATTTCATTTACGGAAATTTAAAAAAAATCTTTATTGTTGGGTAATTTTAGGATTTTCTATTGTTTTCTGTTAAAAGATTTTTAAAAATAGGCATATATCTTTTTGAACAAAAATGTGTAAAATACTGTTGACTGCCACATTATTAACCAGCCTGTAAAAAGAACTCATTTTAAAAAAAGTTTACTCATCACACAATGAGAACCAAAATGAGCTCACCTGTCCATTTGCTCCAGTATATCATGCAAGGTCATGGCTTTTTCATCTTGCACCTCTTTAAATTTGTTGTGGAGATTTTTATTGAGATGCATGTATTTCTCACTCAGTTCCACCTGCTTGTGTGTTTCTGCTGGACTGTGGAATTATGGAAGACTGCCTGATCACCATATCTAATTGTATAAACTCTACAATGTTCACAATTGAAAACACAAGGATGGAGGCTTGTTACAGAAAAATGAATACCTTTTATGTGTGACGTTTGAGTCAGAATCTTTAGATTCCTCCTGTTGGTCTGCTGGCTGGAATAAAAAAAGCACAGACATAAATAGCAACATCACACCATCAGTCTTCCTTTTCAGTTGCAGCTTTTTATTTTATAAGAGCATCAATGAGGTGTCAATATTACAATTTGAAGAAAGTAAATACCCACTAAATTTTGACTTCTTTGAATGATTGACTATACCTGATTTGAGGCCTTAACAAACATTTACTTGCACTCCTACTTACCAAGAAGACAGGTACTCAACAAAGTTGTGAAGACTTAGTAACAATATGTGGACTTTCAATTTCATACTTATTATGACAAAAGGTTGGCAATACTTTATTTTAACTAAAATTTAGTGCTATGAGGTGTGGTAAGCCTGGTTTTAAAATTCAAAGAGAGGTAGAAACAAGTGTTTCTATATGTTTTGTGACAAAAAGACCCATAAACAGTTCAACTTTACTAGATCAAGGCAGGTAATTCAGGTAGCTCTGTTGTTTGACTTACCAGGTTTAATTTGTTTTGTACTTTTGGTAAAGATGTGGCCTCGCTGAAAGCATAAAAAAAGATATTTAATATTGACAAATAGAAATTTTTTTTATGCTTACAGAAAATTTTAAATATTTATCTAAACTTTGAACAAACAAGAGTTCATACTTACATTGTTTGTTTTTGCCCGTCATTTGTTGCAAGTGTTGGGTCTGCTGGAGCAGCTTCAACTTCTGCTCCAGCAGCTCTCAGCTTTTCTTCTTCCTTTTGGGCTTCTCTGCGCAGGCTATCATAATATTCGTCAAGAAATTTAAACACACCTGGTCAGATTGAAAATTTTAACACATTTTTTTTTTCAAAATTTGAAATCAGGTTGCTAAAACATTCTATGTAGATTTCCAAATCCTTCGTTACAATGTAGAAGAGGAAAATGCAATGTGATTAATTTTTATAATTACAAGTCAATATCTTAAGCAATTATTTTCATCATCTAGGAAGGGCCAATAGGCATCTACAGAAGTTATTTTTTATTTTAACTAACAGGCCTATTCAAGGTTAAATTTTCCATGCATGGAAAAGTGTGAATAGTTATTCTTTTTACAATTACATACTACTAGGGGGTCTGCGTAGTCGAGTTGGTAAAGCTGATGGTTGCTAAACCGAAAAGTCTCGAGTTTGAACCCTCTGGCAGATAGGCCCGTTAGTTGGAGACATCCACTCTTCTAGGAGAGACAATCCAAAATTACAAAAAAACTGTTGCCTTGTAGTTTGTTCTTGGTTGGATAAAGGCTATGGAAGCAAATCCAGAAAGAAAATGCGGCTGAAATTGGAGTAAATGGCCTCAATGGTGCATTACCAGTTGACACGTGTACTAACTTGTATTGGAGGAGATCCCTTCCAACACTAAAATTAAGAACAAAGAAGAAGAAAATACTACAATGAATGACTTATAAAAAATTATTCCTTACTTAATTTGTGAGCTGAGTCTTCTTCTAGATCTTGGGGCGTGTCTGTCCTACTTTCAGAAAGAGGCTGGGGTGTCTCAGACCTGCTGTCAGGCAGCTGATCCCTAGGGTTGTACTGTGGTGCCCCGCCTAATGTGTTCACCTTTGACAATACACACTACATCATTATAGCTAGTAAAACAAGTTTGTGTACAGGCGGGGAGGAAAAGTTTCAAGCAAATCAAAAGTTATTTCTTTGGTGGTTGGTTGTTGGTTAGTAGGTGTGGAGTCACTGGGTGGTTACATAGTCATAAACATAATCAACATAGCCAAAACATCATGAACATAATCAACATAGCCAACACATCATAAACATAATCAGCATAGCCAAAAAATCATGAACATTATCAACATAACCAAAACATGAACATAACAACCAACATATGCAAAACACCATTAATATATCCATTACGGCCAAAACATGAACATTACAAACAACATATGCAAAATACCATTAGCATATCCAGTATGGCCAAAACATGAACATAACAAACAACATAGCTGAAACATCATCAACATGACCAACATAGATGAAACACCATTAACATATCCAGTATGGCCAAAACATGAACATAACAACCAACATAGCCAAAACATCATGAATGTAATCAGCACAGCCAAAAAAAAATCATGAACATAATCAACATAGCGAAAACATGAACATAACAACCAACATAGCTGAAACATCATAAACATGAACAACCAACATAGATGAAACATCATAAATATAATCAGCATAGCCAAAAATATCATGAACATAATCATGAACATCATCAACATGAATAGCCAACATAGATGAAACATCATGAACATATCCAGTAAAACCAAAACATGATCATAGCAACCAACATAGCTGAAACACCATCAACATAACAAACATGATTATCACCTGTGATGAGGAACTGCTGGGGCTAAGACTAGGTTGTAATGACATCCGTGGGTTGGCTAAAAATTTCGTGGAGCGAGAAAATCTGTGGAATCTTGTGACGCTGATTTTTTTGCCAGTCTGTTTTGTTAAAGGAATGGTGTATATATATAAATGTATCAAGAATGCAAACATGTTGACATGTAAAAATAAAACATTTATTTTACAATAATTATTATTACAAAGTTTTATACTTTTAGAATTTATATGTAAACTTTCATATTTGTATATTGTGTATTTAAAAATCATGTTTTAATTTTATATTCCTGTAAAATATATCTATAAATAGGACATAGTATATAAATAGAGGATTGGAAAATTAACTCTCTAGAGAGAGCAATGTTGTAGTTTTTTTAAAAACACATATTTTTATAGAGAGGAAAAAGGTAGGAAAATTCAAGATTTTGGTTACTGACAACATAAATTTTATATGTTAAAAATTAGAAAAAGAAATACGTTCTAAATATAGTTTATAATATAAGATTTGTTTCAAACTTGTCTGACAGTCTATCCCAAACTGTTCTTTAATCTACTGCTAACACTCCTCTCATGAAACTGTACCTTGTTAATGTTAGAATTACTCAGCCATTTGTCCCAATCCAATGTTTCTGCTCTCTTCTCTTTATTTTTTTTTATTTTCAAGCCACCAATTTCTTGCTCTCTATAGAAATAAAAAATCAATTCAGAAATAAAAATTTTTGTCTTCAAAGTGGTTAAGTGATTTATAAGCAGTAAAAGTATTCATTTTTTAATAGCTTTAGAGATTAATCACAGATCGTAGAAGCAAACAGAAAATTAATTTTAGAAATGTAATATTACCAAATTACAAATAAAAAATGATTTTTTTACCACTTACACTAGCCTCAAACAAGTTAAAAATATATAAGCAATAAAATAAATTAAAAAAGATTAAAGAGAATGTTAAAAATATAAGCAACAAAATTACACAAGTTCCCAACAAGTATGTAAGCAACAATATAAAATGTCCAATCTTGTTTTAAAAAGATGTAAAGAACAGCTTACACAAGCTTCCAGCATGTAGATATAGGCCCCATATAACAGTTCTGTTCTATATTCATAGCATCTAGTATCCAGCAGAGAGAACACAACTGACGGAACAATGCAGAACTGGAAAACATTTTTTTTAACATTAATGTTTACTGACGTTTGTTGTGTAAATTATAAATTATGTAAAAGAAAATAAAAGGAGTAAAAGAATAAAAAATTAAAACAGAAATAAATGAGACTCTAACACGAAGAAGATAAATATTTAATTTTTCAAAGATCAACCAGTGTTCAACAAATGTTTTGATGGGGATTGTTACAGAAAATTATTTTTTAATTATTTTAGTCGAATTTTATTGTACATTTTTAAATGTGCAGTAATGTTAGTCTACTTAAGATAAATGCAACACTTATTACGTCGCAAATTAAATACGGGGATTCATTTATATTTTAAAAAAATTATTTTTGAAAATGCTAAATTAGTCAAGAAATAATTGTGACATTATTTAAGGATGACATTTTACTTAATTTTTCTAGATATTGTAACCTATTAAAGTTAGCTTAAATTACCAAATTGTGTTTAAAACGTAGAGATCTATTATTCATTGAACTCTAAGATTATGATTGCCAATGAGAAAGTATGTCACATTTATTTAATATGCTGTTTTTTACTAGAAAGCAAGGAGCTGACCTTAACATACAGTGTTTTCTGTTAATAAAATTTTCAGTTAAATTTAATCTAAAAACTTTAATAAAAAAATTAAGAGTAAAAAAAGTTTAAGTTAAACCTTGAAATGTCATCCTTATTAGAAAAAGCATCTGTGAGGTTGGTGTGCATGGGCGTAAAAGGTCGTGCATTGAGTAGGCGTTTCTTCTTCTTCTTCTCCAGCATGCGTGTTGTTGATGGCTTGGCTGAAACTGGTAGATGACCCCTCCTTAGGGCACTGGTAGGGTTGACAAATTGAAGATTTTTTAAAAATACAACTATCAATAACGTATCTTTAAAAATATTAAATATTTTTAAAAAATTATAAAAAGAATGGAAGCAGGAGTAGTAATAGAAAATAGCAAGTTTAGACAAGCAGTGTTATCTAGATGCCCTAACAAAGACAAACGTTCAAACAGTAATTTGGTAAAGAAAATACAGAAATATACTTACAGTTTGAAAGGACTTGAGACACAAAACCACAGACAAATTATTTTATATAAATCTTATATTTATGCATGAGGGAAGGGGGGTGGGGGTGGGATAAGAAGATAAGATGGAGAATAAATGTTATTCAATAAAATACAGAAATGATGAGAATGCTGAGTTTTGTTTTGGGGGAGTGGGTGGTGGTGTGTGAGGTTTTGTGAATTTGTTTGGTGAACATAAGTATTCTAAAACTGTGTGATCTCAATTATGGATGACCCATCTGTAATTTTAATAGTTTTCATGCTAATGCTTAATCTGTTTAAAAAGTTGAAGTACTGCAAGATTTTATGCGGTAATGGAGACAACTCAGGTTTTTTTAAATATTGACTTAGCCCCCTTTAATGGGTTTCTCACTTTCTTTTATAAACTCAACTAAATAAGACTGTTAATAGTGTTATTGATTACAGGAATTACATTATGATTTGGTTTCTTATCAAATAAAATTTTCCAAAACTATTTAAAACATCTGGTAATTAAAGCAAACTTTCTGTTAAAGGCAAAATGTTTAAAAAACTGTGCATTATATTGGCTGGTGCAAAATATGGCAGAAAAAAGGTTAAAAGCTTAAGAATAATCTCAATAAAATATGTTTAAAAATGAAAAATATATATTAAAAACATACATATTATATCATGAAATATTAATGTTAGAAAAGCTTTTGGTAAACAGAAAAAAAACACTGAGAAATTAAACTTCATTGTAAAAAACAGTATAATTTCATTTTATAAGTATTTTTACAATAAAAAAATTATGCAAAAAGAATAGGCGTATAGATTATGTAGTGAAAAGTGCAATATACAATGAAAAAGAACTTATTCCAAGGAAGGTAATACATAATATTAAAGATCATTATATATTGTAAACAGCATCTGAAACTCTACCTGCTAGATGCATCTGTCTTCCCAGAAGATGATGGAACACCCCTATCTGAATCCTCATCATCACTGAAGTTCATGTCAATGTAACTAAATAGTTGAGAGTTAGTGAATGAAAAGCAACAGACCAAAATGGTGTGCCACATTGGCATTGAAGAGCCAAAATAATAAATCTCATATAAAAATTTCTGTTTCATAAGTGAATAATAATCCCTGTCCCAAATCATGATTGTTTAGGCTATGGTTAGTTATAAAGTATAAATTAGAGCATGTAATCCATTTAATTCAATTTCCTTTAAGGCTTTAAAACTTCACCATAAATGCGTTTTTAAGTTAGATCTTCAAACTGGGTATTTTTTGCTAAGTACTAGTGCCAACATTTGATGACTATTATATCAGGGTGTCTAAACAAGTTTGTGCAATCACTTCCATTCTCCCCCCCCCCCTCTCCTCCCCAAAATTAATTGCACATCATGAAAGATTGTTCCCTCCCCTAAGTCATAAAAAATTTTCCCACATAAAATGACAATGACTTTAACAAAAAAATTAACTTTATATAACACCCCCTTAAATCTCCCCCAAACACCAAATGACTACTAAATTAGAGTAACATCGTTTATGCAGTTTAGCATAAACCTACTTATCATTCAATTTTAAACTATTAAGATGAACTGAATGTGCATTAATATTATTATATAGTAAATATTCATAGCCTCATAATTTGCGCAGATATTGGTGGCAGATGAAATGATCAGGATATATTATAAAAAAAAATTGATTGCAAGAAATAACCTGCAAATAAAAATAGCCCCACTGAACTGTATGTTGGTTAAATTGAAACGATAAGCAAAATTTAAAAACTAGTTTTAAAATAGGTGAACATTTTTAGAAATATTTAAAAAAAAAAGAAATCACACATTATCTAAACTAAAAAAATATCTAAGCATGCAATAGTAATGGAAATTTTATATTCTACTAAAACAATTATGTGAAGATTTTAAAAGTGTATTCTATAGTTTGCAAAAAAAAAAAATGAACACATTATTAGTAAAACTATTCAAATTGCTTTATAACAATTAAAAATAAGTCTTTACAATAAAAATAACACTTTATTAAGAAAAAAGTGACATTTAAGCCCAGATAAAAACTTACTTCTCTAGATCAGAATCCCTCTCTAAATCGTCTTCTGGCTCTGTATCTTCATCACTAGAACTAGTTACTCTAGGAGGTTGCCATTCTGTGCGGGAGCGCTCTAATTTTCTCTTCAATTCAGCTTCCTTAGCTGCTTTCTTTTAGAACAGTTGAAAAAATAAATTTATTTTACTAATTCTCTGATCAAATAATATTAAGGTTTTACTCTCATTTTGAATGGGCTGAAAGAAAGGCAAGCTGATCTTCGTTTACTAATTCTTATAAAAATCTTCATTAAACCCTATTTCACATGGGAATTTTACACTCACTACTTCAAAAATACATACTTCACATGTAATTATATCAAAACATTTTTTTTTACCTTGGAGTATCGTTCTTGTTTTATCATGTGAAACAGACCATGGCCGAGTTGGACATTTCGAATCATTGCCCTTGAAATTCAAATATTTCAAAAGTATAAAAAAAGGGAACAAAAAAAATTTAAGCTTTCATTTTAAATATTTTAACATTTTATTTTATAAAAAAAGTGATATTACTGTTTACTTTAGTCTTTGATGTGAAATACATGACATTTTATTGATTAAATTGATCAAAACTGCTTGAGACATTTATTCCCCAGACTTACCTCCCTTTCACAACTTCTTTATTCAAAGTATTTAAATCTTTTTTTGTCCTCTTTAAAATGAATTTTGCTACATTCTGGATAATAGAAAATTTTGGTTAGCGAGAAAATAATCTTGGCTTTTATAGTAAGTAGTATTGTTCCCTTTCAAACCTGGTGGTCTACGGGGCAAGTAAAGGAGGGTTCATTTGTTTCTGTGACCTCGGCATATGAAGGGAAAGTGTGGTCACCACTATGCTCAGCCACCATTACTTACCCTAACGTGAGTTAGGTACCCATCAGAGCTGGTTGGACTCAAGGACAGTCCACTGACTTGTACCCAGATTCGAACTAGAGACTAACGGGTTAGCAGTCCAGCTCTCTACCACTAGGCCACTCCGTCCCTTCATGAGCTTTTATAGGCCTACATAATTACATTCTAAGCAGTAGTATCATAGATACCAGTTTAAGCTAGTCGTATTCTCACCATAGTATCATAGATACCAGACTAAAGCCCTGTACTCACCACAGTGACCTGTGCAGCATCCTGGAATGCCATCAGTGATGGAGGCTCTGGCTCTGTAGTAGGTTCCACAGCCACTACTGCCCTGCTCTGTTCATTCTAGTAACAATCAAAACATATAAGGAAAACATTATGTAAACAACAGAAGATCCCCACTATTAAGTTTCTATTCTGTTGCCATTTCAGCCAACATGGTTTGTTTAGGCCTACTTTGAATTGTTTATTTAAATTTTAAAAAATGTTAGATAAAATAGTAGGGATACTTGCCGTGTTAATGTAGAAAATGATTACATTTAAAGGTCTTTCTTTCACTATTTTAGTTTAGTTTCAAATTTTAACAACAAAAACAAATCAATAAGCCATTAGAAAAATCTTGTAAGGCATCTTAACTAGATCCATATTTTCTCTATATGTCACATCCTAACAAAAATAAGTATTCCAGATTTCATTATTATAGTTTAGAGTAAAAAATTTAACAACAAAATCAAAACAAGAAGAACGGCATTAGAAAAAGCTTGTAAGAAAGACATCTTAACTAGATCCATATTTTCTCTATATATCACACCCAAACAAAAGTAAGTATTCCAGATTTCTATCTTAAGAAACTGAGTTTCTTACTCACAAAATGTATTTCAACTGTAGGATTACTAAAAATAGTATCACAACTGACCTCATCCCATTGTCCAAGAGTACTCAGCACCATCACCCTGTTGTCCAGGTAAACTGGGTCACCAACTGCCTTATAAGGCTGATGAATATGGGCATAGAACCCCTGCTCAGACAGCTGCTGTTTCCTGCGGTCATAGTTACACTTCCAGACTTCCTCTCTGGTGGGCGTGTAGGGGTTGAGGAACGAGTCACACCTGGCCTGGAGCTTGAGGCCTTTTTGACTTGGTATCGGCAGCGGAACAGATTTGACGTAACTCTTTGGGTCCCGGCTGGGCATTTTGTTAGCCAGTGATCTGTTAGAGGTAGACCTGAAAAATTTATTCAGAGAAATTTAGTTTTTTTTAACTATCAGATTGTTTTTAAAAATGTGTTATTTAGTTAACTAACAGTTTTTGAAAATTTAGTTAATAAAAACATAGTTTTTAAAAATGTAAGCCATTTCAACATAAAAATAGTTTAAAGATTGTTGCATTTTATTTCATCAATAAAATTAAGTCAATGGCCAAGCTATTCAACTTGTAATCCTTTAAACTCTACTTGTCATCTGGAAGCATATTTTTAATAATGAAATATTGATTTATTGACTTTTTTGTCTGAGAAAAATATAAATAGAACATTTTAAAATGTGCCAGCAGTTCAGTTTCCCCATGAAATAAAATAGTTTTAATCTAAAAATCTGGAAAATTCTGGCATATAGGCATATATATCAATATGCCAGAATTAAATAATAATAATAATAATAATAATAATAATATATAGGCCCTTTTTATCCTGTAAACTTGGCCATGGACCAAAAGTATATAAGCTTCAGATTTGAATAAATTATACAGCTAAAAATGGACCTCTTCCACATTTTAAAATGTTATTACTTGCAAAATGAAAATTGCAAGATTTTTAGTAGTGTGCATAGAAAATATCCCATGAGAATTTACTCCAACTCCTTTCACAATTAAAAGACTTTCAACAAAATGTTCAAATTAATTCATGTTAATTAAGCACATAATTACATTTACACTTAAAATAATGTATTCTTGTTTTAAATCTCTGTTACTGACTGCAGTCGTGTGGAGGTCACTATCTATTATTTTAAATAATTTAATTTAGTGATAACTTTAATCTTATTTTAAAATTAAATAACATTCAATTAGTTAGCCAATAATTGCAAATATATATTCAATATTCACATAATTAATTATAATTTATTATATATATATAGATCTAGATCTAGGGCATTCTTGTGCCTTAATATTTCATTTTATCAATGATATTAATTTAATAAATTAAATATTTTGTAGAGTCAGATAATCAATCCTCTACCTTACTCTACCTACCAAGTACATCGTCTAAGTCTTAAGCTAAGAGTCTCTAAGACAAAACATTATGTCTTATGACTGATTATAAATATTTATAATCTAACTCTTCTTCTAGATCTAGATCTAGTCTAGTAGTCTACATTTATTGATTCTAATCAATCTAATGATTCTAATCTCAACATTCTCAAGTTGATTTTTATGTGAGCTGTGACATTGCTATTCCTGGATTCCATATTAAAAATTCAAACGAGCTTACATGCCTGTCTGGTTTATTTACACAAGAGAAGACACCGCTAGACAGCAACTCATGTAAAGTAAAAATCAAATAAGATCTTATTCATAGCATAAAAGTTCAATCGAATCAAAATCGATTTGTATTCGAAGATCAGAACATAACACTGACTAGGCCGAAATTAATATAGGATCTAGCAGTCACGTGATAGCATGATTATATTAGCAACAGTAAACACAATGTCGAGTCTGCTCTTCAAGAAAAAAGTTGTAAGGTAAACAACCTGAAATCTCCTGAAGTGGTTACTTCAGTTAGGCAACACCACGCCCTTCTGATTCTGCAGTGGGCATACTTAATACTAAAATAGATCCTATTCCATGACACAAAAATTCTAAAGTAACGTATGTAAAACGAAACAGCACACTACTTACCGTTAACAATAGTCTATTTTAAACTTTTTTCCCCCCTTGTTTTAAAATTTTCACTTTTTAAAAGCCACGCGTATTTAAAGTAGGCTAAATTGATTTCTTTTCACTAGCACGTATAATTAAATCCAGCACGAACGATGCATCAATAAGCCTCCAAACCTTCGAACGCGATGGCGCGAAAAAACAATGGACTTTTACGGTTTTGCAGTTCAATACACAGTGTGGTAACGGCGCATTTTGGTAATTAACTGTGCAAAATCGATACAATTTTTTGTTTACTTCGGCACTCAATCAAACCTGTTTTATTTTGGGAGTCGGATAATATTCCCTCAACAACTGATACCCATGATTGATTCCATTGATTACACATAATATCTGTAATGCGGCGTCCATAGCAACCCCAACAGCTGATTAAACTGATTAAAAACACTCATTAAAAATTAAAAAAAAAACACTCAGAAGGCCTAGCATAGAAAAAAAAAACACATTACGCAACGTCAAACTCATGTGTTGAAGTAGAGGTTGGGGGAGGGGGGGGGGGTGTAGTGACGACATGTAACAATGGTTAGGGCTTTACTAAGAAAACATGTTATGACTTCGCGTTAAAAATGATAAAAGCTACAAGATATTGGCGTAGTTGGGGTGGGGGGAGGTGGGGCAGGGGCTTATAACCAGAGGCGCCCGGGGATAAATCTTTCAATTTGCCCCCCCCTGCTATATTTTGTATATTTATAATTCAAATCTGCAGCTAAAATGAGCTTTTAATTTCTTTCCAACCCATTTTGGAGCCCCTAGGGTCGGCGCCCGGGGACATATGTACCCACCTACCCCCCTTCGCTACGCCTCTGCTTATGACCACCATGGTGATAATTGATAGGGGGAGGCAGGGTAATGACTCCGGAGGTAATGTTGGGGTGGAGGGAAAATCCAATGGGGGGGGGGGGTGGAAGGGGAGGGAAACGGGGTAAAATTGTGAAGTTGCATAAAGTTTGTAATTCTTTCAAATGTGTTTGGGGGTAGGGGATTTTGGAATTATGTGACGTCAAGTTAAGGTGAGGTGACTGGCTTTCTGTGACGACTTGTCAGGTTGGGGGGGGGGGGAGGAAGTAAGTGAGGAGGGAGGGGACGAAATTCGGTTGAAATGAGGTGATATCATTTATGGAAAAAACCAACTCGCCTCAGCCTACCCATTACGGGAGGGGGGGGGGGGGGGGGGGAAAGGGGATTAGCACTTGAACCAATGGGTTAGCCTTGTTTGAATTGCTCGGCTTGTGTTTCCGTTTTAAATTGGAATAATGTTTACAAATACAAAAAGCAATGATGTATAATAAATAGCCTTAACTGTTCTTCTTTTTAATTGTGATGTTGGACGTGATTTCCTCAAACACAATTGAGTATTACGTGTTAACTTGTTACGCGCCATAACGGACGTTGACTCAGATTTCAGCCTGACTTTCTTTTTGGATTTGCTTCCATAACATTAATTTTGTCCAAGGCAGCAGTTGTGTGATTTTGGAGTTTTTTTTTTCTTCTCCAAAATGAGTTGCTATTCCCCGCTATCGAGCCTCATATGCCCGAGGGTTTTGAACTCGGGAATTTTCGGTTTAGCAACCAGGAGCTTTACCGACCCGAACACGCCCTTTATAAACTCTTGATGTTGCTTAATTTGGAACGGGTGTTTGTGGTTTTTACTCAGTGGCGTAGCCAGGATCGTCTCATGGTGGGGGGGGGGGGGGGGTTCAAATTTTTCGATTTGCACCCCCCCAAACTTTCGATTTACACCCCCCTCATACTTTATATATATAGCGAGGGGTCTATGGGGGGTTATGACCCCCCCTAACCCCCCCCCTCTGCCTACGCCACTGTTTGTACTTGACACTGAAGAAAGTAGAAGTCTCTTAAGGACAAACCATTCCTGTACAAGCGTGTACAAGCATTAAGCTCACTTTCACCCACAACATTTTCGATACAACTTTAACTTTCTGATTAAAAGGCCTTAACCATGCATTAATAGAAGTTACTTTATAGTTATACACACTATATACCTTGTAGTATCATTTTTATAACACATGTCTATAATATATAGTTCCTTAGTGGCCAAAAGATAGTAGACATACCCAGTTGAGGGGTCGTCCATAAATGACGTCACACTCGTAGGGGGGAAGAGGGGGTAGGTAATTTTGTGACGGTGTGTGATGAGGGGGAGGGGGTCAGAAGTGCGACGTCATACTTTTACATTATAAAAAAAGCAATGTTAGATAACGAATTTTAGACGTTATTTCGCGTTTTAGAAAACTGTTTTAATAAATTGGAATTGATTAAAATACTCTATTTTGAAAAGGTTCAGACAAGATTTTGAAAAAATATCGATATTAAAAATTTTGAGGGGGGTTGTAGGCTGAGGTGTGAGTCATTTTAGGGGGGGGGGTCTGGCTTTTTGTGACGATGTGTGACGGAGGGGAGGTGGGGAGGTAAAAAATCGTCAAAAAAAGCGTGACGTCATTTATGGGATGACCCCTGATTAAAAAAAGTCTGTGTGTGTGTTGGGGGGGGGCACGGTGTGTATTTTTTTTATAGAGATTGCAGGATGAGGGAATGGGGAGGGGGGGGGGGGGTAATCAAGTGTCAGAACTAACTGTAAAATTATTCATCAATGCCAGCTAGTTCAACTTCAGTGACACCTCATTTTGATGTTTACTGTTAAAATATAGGTCAAGGACTAAACAACTTTTCTCGCAGCTACTATTCTTAAAGATATTATAGAAGAGACTAGCTACTCCAGTCCTCATTGTCGCTTTACAATCAATAGCGGAGTTGCAATAAATGTGTAATACAGGACAAGGAAAAAGTACACCTTTATGGTACTTCTATGCTTCCTGTAAATTGTAAACCTGTCGCGCATTGTATTTTGTAAATGTGCACCGTGCACGCAAAATGCACGTCGCACTCAAGAAGTTGGTCCTTAGGACTTATAGGGGTCATCCATAAATGACGTCACGCTTTTTTGGACGATTTTTACCTCCCCCCTCCCCTCCGTCACACGTCGTCACAAAATCTTCCCCCCCCCCCTAAAAATTGCAGTTGAATTTTTTTTTAAAACATCGATATTTTTCTAAAATCTTGTCTAAACTCTGTCAAAATGGAGTATTTTAATCAATTCCTATTAAAATTTATTAAAACAGTTTTATAAAACGCGAAATAACGGCTAAAATTCGTTTTCTAACATTGCTTTTTTATAATGACGTCGCACCATCTGGACCCCCCCTCCCCTCATTACACATCGTCACAAAATTACGCCCCCCCCCCCTCCCCCTACGAGTGTGACGTTATTTATGGACGACCCCTTAGGGAGATCGTTGCACATCGAAGGTGCATCACTGCACTTTGGTATAGTTCATAACTAGAACCTTTTGTAACCTGTGTCGTCTTGGACCTCACCACGATGTTCTTATTTTTTGGGTTGGTCTTATTATCGAACTTCTTTGTAATACGAACCGTTGTTCTTGCCAGGATAAATAAAGACTGCTAAGTATTTTAAAATGAACTACATTCTTTGTTTTAAAAATGTTTGACATGATCTTTAAAGGAAGTAAAATGCCGATGGCGTATGAAATCCGATACTCTCTCACGGTTGAAATCCAGAAAAAAAATCAATATATAGCTGGCAATGTTTTTTTTTAGCAAACAGCTGATTAAGTTAATAAAAAAAATGAACACATTTTTGAGCTCTATATGGGTAATCCATAAATGTAGTCATACTTTAATTTGACGATTTATTTTTACCTCCCTCGTACCCATCGTCACATCCTACAACCCCCCCCCCCCCGCACAACTCGGACAAAATTATAGTTTTTCCATTTCTTCCTCACCACATATTTTCTGAGGCCTGTCAACATTGAGGGGGCCTATTTTAATTAATGAGTTTACAAAAGTCTTTTAAATCGCGAAATAACAGCTAAAATTCAGTTTCTAATGTAAAAATGCGAGCGTCACACTTTAAAAAAAAACAACCCTCCCGTTTGTCCACGTCGTCATTAAAATCCGACCCCCCCCCCTGAAGTGTGACGTCGTTTATTGAAGACCCCCCACCCCCACCATAAGGTAGATGGAGCATAGATTCTGTTTAGATGGAAGAGTGTCAATCTGTTTTTATTATGCCATTTTAATACCCATCTGTCTGTCATCTTGTTTGTTATCTTTGTGAATTAGCCAAAATTAGAATGTTTGACATCCCTCTCACCCAAACAGTTGCCACAACAATTAGTATGTTTTCATTACGTTTTTTTCTTTAAAAATAGGACATATACAATGTTTGCTATATTGTAATTCTTTAACCCCCGGATTTAGCGGGCATAATTCAGCCAGTTCCCTTTTTAAAGACAACACTTCAGTTGATATTACAAAGAAGGGCGATGCGGTACGGGGGGGGGGGTGGGACTTCACCTCCTAATACATTTGTCTAATCTTAAAAGTGGTCTGCATGCAGAGTTTCTTTCAGGCATATCTTGAAGGGGGGGGGGGGGGGGGGGCAGAACCCTACCCCTCGAAGAATGTCTACCCCCTCCACCCTCCTGAACGAAATAGAACCCACTGGACACTGTTAAAAATATATATGAAGAGATGCCGGAAAGAAACCCTTTGTCAAGGATGAGCTTAGAGCTTACACAGGGAAGGTGAGCAGCTGCTCCCCTATGACATTTTGGGATGTGATCTATGACTATATTTAATGTGAATATGTAGTATCTATTTGTAAATCAAGGTTACCAGATAAAGAAGTGTGGTAATGTCTAAATTTAGCGTCCGTAAATAAAAATAAAATGGTGTTAATTATTTAAGTTCCAGTTCAATTCCCTGATAGGATTCCTGTAAATTTCAAGTACCAGTTAAATTATGGTTCTAAGTCTGGTTTGAAGGTTTACATTCAGATTTATTTGAATTTTCAGTTAACCTGTTTCAAGGTTATATTTATTTATTATTAATTACTACCTTATTATTCAGGTAGGGATACTGACAAAGAGTAAATTACATGGGCCTGTACAAGGAAGAACCCCATATTGTTAATTATTAAAATTTAAATACCCCCACTGAATTAAAACAGATTAATTTAAATATTTGTCATAATATTATATTATAGACCTATATTAGTAATAATAGGCCTATATTTTTTAAGCACAATTTAGATCTATATCATTTTCACTCTTAAGTTTATATTTGAAGTTTAAACACGTAATTTCCAAAGCCCAAAGTTAAAGGCTATAAAAGCAGTGATTAGTAAGGATATTTATTATTTTTATCTTTTCAGTAGGCATATGGCTAATAAATTATAAAAATAACTTAAAAACAAAATATAAAAATGAAACAGTAATATTTAATATAGTAATAGTAGCACATATGATAGGCCTAATGACCTAATGGCAGATTAATTTAATTTACTTAATTTAATGGCCTAGGGACTGTATAGGCTAATCTTATTATTAGGCATATTACATTAAACTTTAATATAAAAATTATTAGGCCTATTAAAAATTATAGGCCTATAGCCCTTATAATATAATAATAGTGTGACTACAGGCCTAAATACTAAATTAGTAAATTTTATTTTATTTTAATTTTTCGAATTTACTACTTTTAAACAAGCCAAAGAGTAAAAGAAGTTGATTATTATGAAAATTAACTTACCAATATTAATTCATGAAGCATTTCTTGATATTTAAAGAAATACATAAAAATATTGACTTAGTAGGCCTGTTCACTATTTAGATCTACATTCTAGTATTCACTGCATGGGAATGAATGAGACAGTCACAGAGGGACGCCATTGCTAGGTTACTATTATGCAGTTTAATAGACTTTTTACAGGAAGAGCTATACAGTAACATTCCTTGAAAATTCGCAATTTACTTTAATTTTTAATTAACATATTGACTAAGAAATGTATATAAAAAAGATAAACATAAATCGGGCCAGTGTGATTTCTAAAATTTTAAATAAATGCGAATTTTATTTTATATAGATCTAGATCTATGTTATATTAATAAGCAGTCGCACTGAATTAAAATTGTTAGACTAGATAGAAGAAGGATGAAGAAAAATTGATTAACAAAAACATGGGAGAGAACTCTAAATTATTGTCCAAGGTGCTTCGTGAACCACAGGCATCTTCACAGAGATTTTGGGAGGTGGTTATCCACAAGTATTAAAATGTTGAAAGCGGTCACTTTCCGCAGATTTTCCCTAATATCTCAAAGATGCTTAATACGCACGTTTTATTTAGACGAAACTGCACCAAAAATAGGAACGATACAAGATGTTAATTCACCAGAATATCAGGTAGCGTTCTAATTCAAGTAACAAAGGCTACTCAAAGACTTAAAAATAATAAATAAAGAGGCAAACTCATATTTTGAAATTTTCATTAGAAGATGGTGATAACAGGAGGGGTGGGGAAAGGGTAGGGGGCTAACTTCAGTTAAAAATGCCAGGACTAATTTTAGTGACTCTTAAGTAGTCTTAAGTAATAAGTAAGACTTTCAGGATGATAAAAATAAGAAACTTTTTGCGCAAAGCAGCCAATTTTTCACAAGATATCTCCATACTATACAATTGGTGGTGTGAGTTTACTTTAACTCTACTATCAACCCAACTAGAAACTATTGCATTTGACATGTTTTTACTTGTTAAATTTTTAAAATTATATTGGTAATGATACAACCATTATTTCTTCTTTCTGTTTTAGGAGAAATACTCACGAATGCAAGCTCTGGTAAATGAGCTCAAAGATCGGGTTTCTGTAATTCTGAAAGGTAACAATAAAATTTCAAAATGTTCTTAACCTGCTTCTGATTTGTAGCTGAATTTGATAGGATTTAAGTTCATCATTTTTTTTAACTTGGATCATTTTTGACAGCTAGAGCTATGACTACTTCTCTGCCATAAAGGGGATCCAGTGAGTAGCACTAGGTTTGGCACAGAGGAGAGAATAGAATCACTCAGCTGCTAACCACTAAGTCCTGTGTTCTATTCCTTAGCTATATCCCATTCAAGCTTTTAGTTTACTTGTTTATGATGGGAATTCGACTCTTGTTAGCTTGTCACAATGTTAGGGATATTCAAATTAACAGGTCATAATGCTGATCACATTATCTCTTCATTTAGCAAAGTCACAAGGACAGAATAACTATTTTATATGGTCTGGAAGGGAATGTTTGCTCTATTGTCAACCTTTTACCAACATAAAAGCCGCTTAAAATAACCAATTATGGTTTCTTTGATTTTTAATTCTTTGGCTTGAGCCAATTCTTCTGGGCCTCTATATTGTCATAAAATTTATAATCATTTTTGTGGCTAAACACTGCTTTCATCATCATCACGTTTTCCAGTCGTGCCCAAGACACATGGGGCATATAAAGTAGAGTTCATCTGTTTCAATGACCTCAGCATACAAGGGGATAGTGTGGTCAACACTTTGCCCATCTGCCTTTGTTTTCCTAATGTGAGACAGGTACTCTCAGAGCTGGATTGACCCAGGACATCTTACAGACTTGAGCCTGTGTTTAGAACTCAAGACTTTTTGGTTAGCCGTCTAGCAATCTACCGCTAGGCCACGCTATCCCTAAACACTACTTTAGGACCTGAAAACATTTGCATTGTTATTTGTCTTTTTAACAATGAGAAACTTTTGATGTGCATATTGTTTGTTTTAAAGCAATATTTTATTTAAATTATTGGAGAAATTTATTTTTTTCAAGGTGGCGGTGACAAGGCTAGAGAAAGACACACATCCAGAGGAAAAATGCTGCCTCGTGATCGGATAAACACACTTCTGGATCCTCAGTAAGCTTAGCAAACTAGAGAGCTTAGCAAACTAGAGAGCTTTACAAACTAGAGAGCTTAGCAAACTAGAGAGCTTAGCAAACTAGAGAGCGTCACAAACTAGAGAGCTTAGCAAACTAGAGAGCTTAACAAACTAGAGAGCTTAGCAAACTAGAGAGCTTAGCAAACTAGACAGGTTTGCAAACTAGACAGGTTTGCAAACTACAAACTAGAGAGCTTAGCAAACTACAAACTAGAGAGCTTAACAAACTAGAGAGCTTAACAAACTAGAGAGCTTAACAAACTAGAGAGCTTAACAAACTAGAGAGCTTAACAAACTAGAGAGCTTAACAAACTAGAGAGCTTAACAAACTAGAGAGCTTAACAAACTAGAGAGCTTAACAAACTAGAGAGCTTAGCAAACTAGAGAGCTTAGCAAACTAGAGAGCTTAGCAAACTAGAGAGCTTAGCAAACTAGAGAGCTTAGCAAACTAGAGAGCTTAGCAAACTAGAGAGCTTAGCAAACTAGAGAGCTTAGCAAACTAGAGAGCTTAGCAAACTAGAGAGCTTAGCAAACTAGAGAGCTTAGCAAACTAGAGAGCTTAGCAAACTAGAGAGCTTAGCAAACTAGAGAGCTTAGCAAACTAGCACTTAGATTTACACTATTTGCTGGACTAAATCTTCACTCAAGAAATTTTCTCTTTGATTAATCAGCAGCTGTTTCATTAAATATTTTACCAAAATATTTAATACATATATGTGGCTAACAAATGATGATTTACTCTTTTAGGTCACCGTTTTTAGAGTTCAGCCAGTTGGCTGGTTACGAGCTGTATGGTGAAGATCATGTACCTGCAGGAGGGATAATCACAGGCATTGGGCGAGTGGGAGGGTAAGTCCTCATTCACTCTACATGTTCAGTGCTATCATGTTCAGGGGGGGTAATTACAGGCATTAGGTGAGTAGGAGGGTAAGTCCTCATTCACTCTAGAATTTACATGTTTTGTGCTATCATTACAGGCATTGGGCCAGTGGGATTGTCCTGTGCTATCATGTTCATAACTAACGAGCCGGCCCGCGGCATAACATACGCCGCTATTTAGTTGTTTCTAATTTTCAGTAATTCATAATTTGTGAATTCGACAGTACCAACGCTGACACTGAAAATATTTCTTTAAAACACTATAAGTAGCTCGTTAAGGACCGTAACCCCCCCTTCCTTCCCCCCCTCCCCCACCCCTTCCTTCCCCCCTCCCCCCCCCCTACTTCGTTTGAAATCGTTGGCTCTGCTTGTAAACATTTAGAGTGAACACAGCTCACTAAAACCATGTAGGGGTGGGGAGGTACGGAGTGCGTTTACAGCTTGTTTTCTAGGCGCGTTTGCAGCTTGTTTTCTAGCGGCTCCCAGAAGAGAATTATATATTACGAGCCGGCCCGCGGCATAACATACGCCGCTATTTAGTTGTTTCTAATTTTCAATAATTCATAATTTGTGAATTCGACAGTACCAACGCTGACACTGAAAATATTTCTTTAAAACACTATAAGTAGCTCGTTAAGGACCATAACCCCCCCCCTTCCTTCCCCCCCCTCCCCCCCTACGTTTAAAATCGTTGGCTCTGCTTGTAAACATTTAGAGTGAACACAGCTCACTAAAACCATGTAGGGGTGGGGAGGTAGGGAGAGCGTTTGCAGCTTGTTTTCTAACGGCTCGAAGAAGAGAATTATATATATAGATAACTAATGTGAAACAACTCTAAGCATATTTAGATTTGTCATTTTACTTCTCCTGGCATGTCAATGATCTCTTGAAGTGAATGCAACCATATAATGTTATCATCTAAAAAATAATTCAGTGACTAAAACAATCAGAAGAGAACAACCCATAATTTATTCTAGAATGCATGCAGTAATAAATTATAATTTTAAAATATTATATTTTAAAATTTAAAAAAAAATTATGTTTTTAGTGAAATGAGTGCTAATTAGAATGTATATCAAAATTTGAAGTTTTTGGCAACTATAATTATTTTTTGTGAAGAATTTCTTATTGTCGTTTCTTTGCTTCATTAAGTGTGGAGTGTCTTATCACAGCCAACGACCCCACAGTTAAAGGGGGAACATATTATCCAGTTACTGTCAAGAAACATCTAAGAGCTCAGGAAATAGCTCAGCAAAATAGATTACCTTGTATATACTTAGGTAAGTCTAAATACAATACTTTACAATTATATAAAAATATTAATAACAAATTATTTTTGGTGTGAAAAAAAATGATTTCAAGTAAAAGATTACTGAAAAAGAAAATCTCTTTGGTTTCTGATTCTTTTAGCCCTGCCTTTTCATGAGGCAGGTGAAGTAGAGTTCACCTGTTTCTGTGACCTTTTCAGCTGAAGTGATAGTGTGGTCTGCACTATGCTCAGCCACCTTTACCTTCAGGTGGACATAGAGCTCGGGTCTGAACTCAAGACTTGGGTTAGCAGTCAGTCACTCTAATATGTGACCATACAGTCCACTGAAGATATTTTTAAACATTAGATCCACTGTGGGCTGATTTTTGTCTTATTGCAGTTGACTCTGGTGGTGCTAACCTACCTAGACAAGACAATGTGTTCCCAGATAGAGACCATTTTGGCCGCATTTTTTACAATCAGGCAAACATGTCAGCTAGAGGAATACCTCAGGCAAGCCACTTGATAATAATATACCAGGGGTCGGCAACCTGCGGCTCGCGAGCCGCATGCGGCTCTTTTGATGTCAAGATGCGGCTCTTCGGCTCCATGCACAAATATTAATAATTATTTTAATTTATTTTTAAAACTCATAAAAATATTAGTCTGCAATACTCGGTAATTAAAGATTTAGATCTAATAACAATGTAAAGTTTCTAATTTCGAGCAGAGCTTGCTAAACTACTTTAATATGTTTTGTGCGAAACATGTGTATGTTTTTATATGGATAAATATTATTTCATATTTTAAGCTATTTATTTTAAATGTATATATATATATATATATATATATATATATATATATATATATATATATATATATATATATATATATATATATATATATATATATATATATATATATATATATATATATATATATATATATATATATATATATATATATATATATATATATATATATATATATATATAAAATATCATAATATTGAAATGGAAATGTTTGTGGCTCTTTAAAAACTGTAAAATGTGGTAAATTGTAACTTTTGGCTCTTCCGTCCCAAAAGGTTGCCGACCCCTGTAATATACCAAATTTATGTCATTGTGTAACACTATTTCATTTGAGATTTCATAGGGTATTGTTTTACTATAATAAAAGATAATTAATGCTTTATACCAGTTTAAATTTTTGCAAACGTCATTATGCTGTAAAAGTTGTTTATAGGCCTACTATTCAAGCATTTAAAAAAATTATGTCTTTTAATTTATTAGCACTTACTGTTCACAAAGTATGTTGCCTAATTCAAAAGAAGTTTAATGTTTATATATTATGTCCCTTGATTGATGTAGTTAATTATTTCCCATGTTGACTTGATGCAGTTTAATTATTTCCCTTGTTGACTTGATGCAGGTTGCTGTAGTGCTAGGCAGCTGTACTGCTGGAGGTGCCTACACCCCAGCCATGGCAGATGAGAGCATTATTGTCAGAAACCAGGGGACTATCTTTCTAGCTGGGCCTCCACTGGTACCATTTTTTAAATACAACTTCGGGTTTTTAGTTTAGGATGGCATGGTTGGGCCATATAGGATGGCATTGTCAGGCGAAAGAGCACACACAGCTCACCCAAAAGTCATGAGTTTGAATCCCAGGCTCAAGTCTGTATGACAGAATCCACCCAGCCCTGAAGGTTACCTGAATTGTGTTAGTGAAAAAGTAAAGGCTGTTGGGCATAAAACTGACCCTTGATATGTCAATGTCAGAAAAAAAAAGCAGACAAACTCTTCTACATCTGCCAAGACTTCCAGGTCTGAAAGGGTAACTTTATAGGTTTGTTAGTACAGCTGGCTTTGCTGTAACCCAGGCTTAAATTTAGATTAAAGGTAAAGTTCCATCTTAATTAGTCATGCAGCCACACTTTATATTTGTATACCTGCCTCACAGTCATTTTGTAAAAAACAATTTACCTTGTCATTTACAGCACAGCAAACACATTATATATATATATATATATATATATATATATATATATATATATATATATATATATATATATATATATATATATATATATATATATATATATATATATATATATATATATATATATATATTGCTTACAAACTTTTGGTCATTAAAGAGCTTGTTGATATAGTGTAAAGAATAGAGAGGTTAGAATCAGCTACATTAGTTGTACAACCAAATCTTGAATATTTTTAAAATTTTATCCCAGTAAATGCTAAAATCTGGAATTAAATCTTTCAAGGTGAAGGCTGCCACAGGTGAAGAAGTTTCAGCAGAAGATTTAGGTGGAGCTGATCTTCATTGCTCGTAAGCCATCCTTTTGTTACTAGCCCCTAACTTACTTCTTTTAACATACTCACATGTAGAACATTTACAACAAGAAAGTCATTAGTTCACCACTGGGTATGTGATTGTAGCTTGCCATCATATAGAGCCCACCAATGTTCCCTGTGATTGCGTGTCAGTGCAGTAGTTGTGAACCTGCTGCATAGTCTTTTTTGTTTAAATGCATATATACTTGTATAAGAATTTTATAACATGGTGCACACAAAAACACATTGCGCACTAGCTTTTTCTCCTTATCCAACACCATAAGATAGGAAGTTAAAGATGCCCAGTGCTTGGCAACATGGGTGTGAGAAATGATCACATTCTGTTTGTGTATGCTTGGCTTAAGACCATTGATTGAGCTGGTTATGCTAGAGAAAGCAGTCAAATATTTCCTTTACAGCTATTAGGTTAAAGAGTACAATAGATTTTGTCATCAATGTTCAGCTTAGAACCAGGCCTAGGGCTGACAGAGTTCCAAAAGAATTCTTGCCTAGCAAGTGAAGTAAGCTGTTACAAAAGTAAACATTTACTAAACATTTCTCACTTAACAGATTTAGCTGTTACAAAACTTTTCTCGCCTCACAAAAAAATGTAAACTGTTACAAAAAAAAAACGTTTCAACAAATTTTGTATCTTCTAACAAAGAAGAGTAAACAGTCACAATAAATGTTACATCTCGTTACAAAGAAAAGTAAACTATTACAACATTTTTAAAATCTCCTAACAAAGAAGAGCAAACTGTTACAACAAATTCTTTACCTCCTAACAATGAAGAGTTAACTGTGTTTTGTTCTCAGGGAGTCTGGTGTTACAGACCACTACGCCCAGGACGAGACCCACGCACTACATATCGCTAGAAGGGTCATCAAAAATTTAAACTACACTAAAGATCCAGGGGTAAGTCAACCTGTCCACACATTGTTACACCTATGTAGAGTGGTACGTCAATCAATTAAACATCATTACACATTCAAATAGTAGTAAGTCAATCCACTCATTCTTCATTACATCTGTATATAGTGTAGTAAGTCAATCATCCACTTATCATTACACCTGCATTTAGGTGTAAGTCAATCCACACATAGTTTATTACACCTGCAATCTATAATATATTCACACATCCTTTCACCTGCATACAATCATAAGCGTTATAGCATGCTGCAGTCTGTTTGACCGCCAGGTATAACTTATGTTACAGGTGACGATAACAGAACCAGTGGAGCCTTTGTTTGATGCATCAGAACTGTATGGTATTGTGGGGGATAACTTAAAGAAAACATTTGATGTTCGGGAGGTTAGCATTTCAATTCTAGAACTTTCCATGATGAAACTCAAATACTCATTGTTTAACCAGATATGAAATATGTTATGTATTTATTTTAATTGACAATGTTTTTGTTTTGTAAGGTAATCGCAAGAATTGTTGATGGGAGTGTTTTTGATGAGTTCAAGGCCAAATATGGGGAAACACTTGTAACAGGTGGGCTTGCTGTAGGGTGTCGCATGGGGGAATTTATACTTCTTTATTATTCAGCTATACTTACATAATTTAAAGTGAAACTTTTTCTCTTTTATTTTAAACCAAGTTCATTCCTTAGACTAGAAATGTTTTTAAATAAAAATGTTAAAAGTAGAGTTCCTTTTTCAAACCTGACGTTTTGTAGGGCAAGTGAAGTAGAGTTCACTTGTTTCTGTGACCTCGGAATATGAAGAGATAGTGTGGTCAGCACTATGCCCAGCTGCCTTTACTTTCCCTAACGTGAGTTAGGTACCCATCAGAGTTGGGTGGACTCAGGGACAGTCTTCTGACTTGAACCCGGATTTGAACTCGAGACTTTCGGGTTAGCAGTCCAGCTCTCTACCGCTAGCCCACTCCGTCCCACAAATAAAAATGTATTCACATAAATTTTTGCCATGCCAAGTGTCCTATACTACATTAATACACTTACACCCAAAAATATCCCCCCCCCTCCATCCTTCCTTTCCTAACATTTATCATTGTCACTGGTGGTGTATGGCCCACCAGCCATAGACTTACATAGTCCTCTGTCTTTTACCATTTTCTCAAATTGACTCTAGCTGTAGTCCATCTTTCTAATTTCAGCTTCCATGTCCTGTCTCAATTTTTTTCTAGATTTGGATGTCTAATTTTTTAACCCAGACATTTCCCTATTAATTAAGCATAAAAAATTCATTAATTAAAATCATTTTCCAAACTTTTAAATTAACTGCTCTTCAGCAGACTATTAATCAAACAATATATAAGTGTTTATCACACTTAAGTAAGTCTGTGTTCAGTCGCAAGTTTTTTTTAAAAGATGAAAACTTTTTTTTACAAATGAAATCGTTAATAATAGAAATTAATATTGCATTTTATTCCTATAGGATTTGCCAGATTATGGGGATACCCAGTGGGTATCATTGGAAATAATGGAGTCCTTTTTTCAGAGTCAGCCTTGAAGGTCAGTGGACAGACTAGGCTGAAACACTTGTAGATTAGTAGAGTTTTGTACTATTTAGATATGTTCTCTTGGACAGACTAGGCTGAAACACTTGTAGATTAGTAGAGTTTTGTACTATTTAGATATGTTTTCTTGGACAGACTAGGCTGAAACACTTGTAGATTAGTAGAGTTTTGTACTATTTAGATATGTTTTCTTGGACAGACTAGGCTGAAACACTTGTAGATTAGTAGAGTTTTGTACTATTTAGATATGTTTTCTTGGACAGACTAGGCTGAAACACTTGTAGATCAGTAGAGTTTTGTACTATTTAGATATGTTTTCTTGGACAGACTAGGCTGAAACACTTGTAGATCAGTAGAGTTTTGTACTATTTAGATATGTTTTCTTGGACAGACTAGGCTGAAACACTTGTAGATTAGTAGAGTTTTGTACTATTTAGATATGTTCTCTCGGGCAGATGAGGCTCGTTAGCTGGCGACAGCAACTCTTCTAGGAGAGACAACTCCAAAATCAAACAACTGCTGCCTTGTAGTTTGTTCTTGGTTGGACAAAGGCTATGGAAGCAAATCCAAAAAGAAAAGCAGGCTGAAATAGGAGTCAATGGTCTCAATGGCGCATAACCAGTTGACATGTATAATCAATAGCGTTGGAGGGGGATCCCTTTCAACACTAAAATTTAGGACGAAGAAGAAATGTTCTAAAACAGACAAGTGAAACTTACATCTGACACTCATTAGCGCAGATGAAGTAGAGCTTGTCATCTTGTCTATGATAAAAATAGATTATGCATAGCTGCATATCATGATTGGTCTATATATCTAAAAAAAATTTTAAAAGAAGTTTCATACCTACATTTTTAAATGCATTTGCTTGAAAGATAAAAAAGCATGAATTAAGATGTAGAATTGTTACAATGTTATGAGTTACAAGAAGTTACATTCTAGTCTATTTATTAGGGAGCTCATTTCATTGAGCTATGCTGCCAAAGAAACATACCACTGATATTTCTACAGAATATTACAGGTAAGTTGCTGACCCTTGAAATCTACTGCCTCTTCTTAATATGTAAGACTTTATATCTTTTTTTCTCAATTATTAATGATAGACTAACTTGCCTGGTTCTAAAGATCATTATAGACAAGCTTTTCTTTTGGAAAAGTAGAGTTTATTTGTCAGTTTTGTTTTTTATAAAATTAAATTTCCGAATAGTTTTAAATTTAAAGTGGGTATCTGGTTTTAAGGTTAAACTCTATATCAATCATGTTTTAAGGTTAAACTTCATATGCACAAGTTTTTAAGATTCTTGATATTCATCAGTTCTAAGGTTAAACTTGAAATTCATCAGTTCTAAGGTTAAGCTTGATGTTCCTCAGTTTTAAGGTTAAACTTGATATTCTTCAGTTTTAAGGTAAAACTCAATATTCTTCAAGTTATATAGTTAAACTTGATATTAGGTTTTAAGGTTAAACTTGATATTCTTTAAGTTATAATGTTAAACTTGATATCAGGTTTTAAGCTTAAAGTTGATATTCCTTAGTTTTAAGGTTAAACTTGATATTCTTCAGTTTTAATGTTAAACTTGATATTCCTCAGTTCTAATGTTAAACTTGATATTTCTCAGTTCTAAGGTTAAAGTTGATATTCCTCAGTTCTAAGGTTAAACTTGATATTCCTCAGTTTTAAGGTTAAACTTGATATCTCTGAGTTCTAAGGTAAAACTTGATATTCCTCAGTTTTAAGGTTAAACTTGATATTCTTCAGGTTTTATGGTGGGCAGGGAGGCTGAAGCTGGAGGTATTGCTAAAAATGGGGCCAAGATGGTGACAGCTGTTTCCTGCGCTAATGTCCCTAAAATTACAGTCATCATTGGTGGGTCTTATGGAGCTGGGAATTATGGGATGTGTGGACGATCTTATTCGTGAGTTGTTGTATTTTTCTCATTTTGTATTTTGTAATTTGTATTTTTTCTCATTTAAATTTAGTTTAATTTCAGAGAAAGAGTTTCTATGGCTGCTCTATAGGCAAAACTAGTATGTTTAAAATGTTAATCTGTTGAAATTAAATCTTAAAGTCTTGGTTTTAATCTGGCAAAATATTTCTTTTCTGCAGTAATATTTAGCAATATATATATATATATATATATATATATAATATATGCACATGCATGTAAATTTAGGTTGTATATGACTTAATTTGTCAGTGATATATGTGACAGTAGAACATGTCATAAAAATAAATTTGTGCTGATTTGTTTGACCAGGCCCAACTTCCTGTACATGTGGCCAAATGCCAGGATATCTGTCATGGGGGGAGAACAAGCGGCCAACGTCATGGCCCAGATCAGCAGAGAGCAGAGGCAGCGAGAGGGGAAACCGGTAGGTTGGGTGTTTGTTTGGCCTTGACTCACAGGCAGATCTGCCCTGACTCACAGGCAGATCTGCCCTGACTCACTGGCAGATCATCCCTGACTCACTGACAGATCTGCCCTGACTCACTGACAGATCTGCCCTGACTCACTGGCAGATCTACCCTGACTCACTGACAGATCTGCCCTGACTCACAGGCAGATCTGCCCTGACTCACTGGCAGATCTGCCCTGACTCACTGGCAGATGTACCCTGACTCACAGGCATATCTGCCCTGACTCACTGGCAGATCTGCCCTGCTATGCAAGGCTTAAACAACCTAGTATGACACTGTTATCACATGCTTGTCTAAAACTTCTGCTGTTAAAACTTCTGATTCTCTGCCACACTTAAGACAACAAAAATAGGAAGCCCTTGGGGCATATGAAGTAGAGTTCATCTGTTTCTGTGACCTTGGCATATGTAAAAGGCCGATTCTAGTCGGAATAAGATACGCATGCGATACGCATGCGCAATGATGAGAAACTACGACTTAACTTCGCGGCGATGTTTTCGATGGTACTGCGCATGCGTGTGTTTACAACCGCAGAACTCTAACATCAACCCTAATCCTATCCCTAACCCTAATCCTATCCCTAACCCTAGCCCCAATCCTATCCCTAACCCTAGCCCTAATCCTATCCCTAACCCTAATCCTATCCCTAACCCTATCCCTAATCCTACCCCTAATCCTACCCCTAACCCTCATTCTAGCCCTAACCCTAGCCATAGGTCACTGCGCATGCGCAGAGCTATCTTTTGCCGACTAAGTGGAGACGTTGGGGAGAAAAATCTTCTTCCGAGTAGACACTTCGTATGTAAAAGGATAGTGCTGCCAGCCACCTTTACTTTCCCTAATGATTCAGGTACCCATCAGAACTGGGTGGATTCAGGGGCATCATACAGAATTGATTTTTGGATCCATTCTTGAGTCTTCTGTATTGGCTTTCATGTACTCTACCATCTGATCATGCTGTCCAGTACTAAGAAAAACATGCATTACATTTGACAATATATTAAAAAATGTGGGTGATAATCTTCAACAAAAGCGTAACTGTTTATTTTTTGAATTACATTCCAGTGGACTGAAGAGATGGAGAATAAAATTAAAGCCCCAATTCTAGCCAAGTACGAGCAGGAAGGATGTCCTTACTACGCTAGTGCCAGGTACTGTGTTTTAGCTGAAGCAGTAGAGTCATTGAAGCTTAGATGTCATTTTGTGCAAGTGTAAATTTTTTTGTATAATAAAGTACCCATTGCATTGTATGAAGGTTTCGCACTAGGTCCAGCTTTTTTAGCTTTTCCATACTTGATCAGAGCTGTGTGGACTCTGGGAAAAACATACTACTTTTGAATTAGCAGTTGCTTGCATTATCGAGAATTTTAATAATTACATTTTTCAGACTATTTTTGGATTAGCAGTTGTTTGCATTACCGAGAGTTTTAATAATTACCTTTTTCAGACTATTTTTGGATTAGCAGTTGCTTGCATTACCGAGAATTTTAATAATTACCTTTTTCAGACTATTTTTGGATTAGCAGTTGCTTGCATTACCGAGAATTTTAATAATTACCTTTTTCAGACTATTTTTGGATTAGCAGTTGTTTGCATTACCGAGAGTTTTAATAATTACCTTTTTTCAGACTATTTTTGGATTAGCAGTTGCTTGCATTACCGAGAATTTTAATAATTACCTTTTTTCAGACTACTTTTGGATTAGCATTTGTTTGCATTACCGAGAATTTTAATAATTACCTTTTTTCAGACTACTTTTGGATTAGCAGTTGTTTGCATTACCGAGAATTTTAATAATTACATTTTTTCAGACTACTTTTGAATTAGCAGTTGCTTGCATTACCGAGAATTTTAATAATTACCTTTTTTCAGACTACTTTTGAATTAGCAGTTGCTTGCATTACCGAGAATTTTAATAATTACCTTTTTTCAGACTACTTTTGAATTAGCAGTTGCTTGCATTACCGAGAATTTTAATAATTACCTTTTTTCAGACTACTTTTGGATTAGCAGTTGTTTGCATTACCGAGAATTTTAATAATTACCTTTTCTCAGACTACTTTTGAATTTGCAGTTGCTTGCATTACCGAGAATTTTAATAATTACCTTTTTTCAGACTACTTTTGGATTAGCAGTTGTTTGCATTACCAAGAATTTTAATAATTACCTTTTTAGACTACTTTTGGATTAACAGTTGTTTGCATTACCGAGAATTTTAATAATTAAATTTTTTCCCCAGGCTTTGGGATGATGGGGTCATTGACCCCGTGGACACACGACACGTCCTGGCTTTGTCATTAAGTGCAGCGCTGAACAAACGAGCAGATCCAACTAGGTTTGGTGTCTTCAGGATGTGAAATTTTTTTACTTCTGTTGTTGGGATACAACGCTTCTAAGGTTTTCTGTGGTTGTATGCAGTATTTGAAAATTCCAGAAAAATGTAAACATAATGATTAGCTCCTTTACTAATTTATAATTATCAGTTTTCTTGGCTTAAAAAATAAATTAAATAAATAATACTAGACATAAAAAACTTACCAAATAAAATTTTAAATGGAATGATTTTATTTTTTATGTTGGTGCAGTTGATTATTCTATGAATAATTTTTAAGTAAAGCATTTATTTTGTATTTTCTATACAAGCTTAGCTGAGAACCTGTAATGTGATAAGGTAGAGAAGTTCATTTTAGTGTTGTTGATATCCAGTAACTGATGAGGTTATGATAATGATAGGACATTGTAAAATTTTGTTGGCTGTACAATGTTTCAAGTGATTATATTATTTTTGTTATTATGTAAACATAAGCTTTGTTTGATGGGAGGTAACTCTAAATTTGAGTGTCTTTCATGTAAAAGTTGTTTGTGATGAATGGGAGGTAACTATAGATTTGTACCTCATGTGTGTTTTGTATTTTTTTTTTGTTGAATGGGAGATAACTCTAGACTTTTGTGTCTGTAAATGGACAAGGGAGATAAATCTTCCAAGATGAATGTTTTTGAATTTGTAATGAATTAAATTAATGTATGGCCACCTGTTGCAGCAATAAAATTGTAAATCAATTTTGTTGTTGTCATTTCAATATTACAGTTTACTTTTATTTATCTTGTTACTAGCACATACATTACACTATTTGAAGACATATAATAATGACACATAAATTCACACCTTTGAAACTGAAATAATAATGATGATAAAACTAATTAATTAAAGCATCAACCTAATGTTAGGCAAGTCATACTAGGTTTCTAACAGTTTAGCATTTCTAACAGTGGGTAGCTCATATTAACATTGGCTTGAACGGCACACGTTTTACCTGTATGTTGCCACGCCCACTAATATTTAAAATGCTATATCTAAGCTCTTAGTGAAGCTAGATACACAAAACTGGTATCAATGTATTGTAATAAAAAAAAACATCTTTTTTTTTGTAATAGTGAGGTTTCAAATTTTTGTGCATCAGCCTACAGTGTGAATTTAGTATACAGGTAAATAAATATAAATACTTTCCACTTTTAGCAATATATGAGAACTAATGTAATATAAGTAGAACAACGCTTTCAAAAATAGTTATATAAATAGATTAGCATTGATATGTATAAATAAAATCAGTATCTTTCGTTTTGCGCATTCATAGCAGCTTGTTATTAATTATAACAGTTTTAAAAGTGTTAAGATAGTTACGGCACAAATCCAAATTTAACGTCTGTCTACAATAACGATGAGGTCACTCAGAATAATCTTAGCAGATGCCATTGATACATTTTTCGAGTTTTTAAAATAGGCAATTACATGCACAACTTGACAATAACATGCACAACTTGACAATAACATGCACAACTTGACAATAACATGCACAATTTGACAATAACATGCACAGCTTGACAATAACATGCACAATTTGACAATAACAATTAAACGCACTTTTAAGCACCGCCTTTAAACGCTAGTGTAAAAAAAAAACAACAACATATTTTTGATTGCTTGGAACTATGGACTTTTTTTTTGCAAATGTAAATAATTTACCTCGGAAATATATTAATAGTTTAAAAGTACTATCTCTAATAAATCTTAATTTTATCTACGTATAATGTGGATGTGCAGGCGTATGTGCAGATCTTTGTATAGATCTACATCTGTATAAGACAGTATAAGTAGATCTAGGACTTGTATTTCTACTATTCATCAGCCACACCCATCATCCTTACAGTACTAGAATCTAGATCTATAACATATCTAGAACTGCAAGACTTTCATATACATATATGATATGTTTATATATATATATATATATATATATATATATATATATATATATATATATATATATATATATATATATATATATATATACATACATACATACATATATATGCATATATATATATATATATATATATATATATATATATATATATATATATATATATATATATATATATATATATATATATATATATATGTGTGTGTGTGTGTGTGTGCGTGTGTGTGTGTATGTGTGTGTGTATGTAGCCTAGTTATGTATGTGTGTATGTGAGTATTTGTGTCTGTAGCCTATTTGTGGGTGTCTGCTTATACAAACCTCGTTGATACAGTCTTCAGGTGTACTTATTGAGAGTTACTGACTGTCTTTAGAGGCGGGGAATAGGTTGGCTAAAGATGACGAAGTTTTAAATGGCCCATTCGTCTGTCCCTATTTGGGCGATATTGATGTCGGTGTTAGACAATCGACAGCTGTGTTTGGGATATCGACGCGGTGGTTAGGTAATGAACAGGTGTGTCACGTCGGTGTATTTCTCTCTCCCCGTTGACATGTTGAGTAACGCGAATGCGCTCGCTCGACGATGCGCACTTCGATCTACAGCCCCCCCCCCCCCCCCCCCCACACCCAACTTACACAGTATCGATGTATTTGAACGTGACAAAATAGGTTCACTTTGTTGTGTGTTTTTTATTTGAAAAAAAAACGATTGAAGCGGTCATGTCTATATATGTTCATTAACTTTAATATCGAAGTATTATATAAATTTGTTGCGTATGTAAACTTCCACGTTGGAGTATCACATAAATCGGTTGTCTATGTATCAAACGATATTTCCACTCTTATCGTTCGGTCAGTTCATTGGCTTTGTATTTCAAAACTGGTTCAGTTATTTTAATAGTACAATTACCGATTTAATCAAGTCTAAATTACATTATTAGTTTACCCGATAAAGTTATCAGTCTATATTATAGTAGCCAATATAGACACCTGTCTATATTACCATGTTATTATAACCGATTAAGTCATTAGTCTATATTATAGTTGCCGATATATTCATGACTAAAATTATCATATTACTATAGCCGATTTAGTAATCAGCCTATTCTATTGTTGCCGATATATTTATCTGTCTAAATTAACATATTACTATAGCCCATAAGGTCCTCAGTCTAAACTATAGTAGCCCATATAGTAATCTGACCATCGATGTAGTGTATTCTGTCCAAATAGTTACTTCTCGTAAGGCTGTCTAGTCTTGCAAGCTGAACATGAAAAAGAACGTCCAAAAGTTGTTCGTTTTCCTGGCATTTTTCTACGTATTCCTCATGATCAAAATTTTAATCAGGCAGCACTTTAATGGTAAGTACAGCATATTTTTTTTAGTGATAAACCTAGTTGTATTAGTTTAGAGTAAAATAATATTTGTACATCAATCTAATAGTAAGCACATAAAAAATGTGACTAAATTACTATGATTGTAGCTTATTATTTTGTTGACGATTATCTCAACAGATTTAGGGAAGGGTAGCCTATATTAGATTATTTTAGTTGTAGTGTAGCGCATTAGATTATACTACGATAGTTAGGATACAAATTGTTTTATTGTCAGCTGTACTAGATAATGGTATTAAATATCAGTGAAGTAGCCTTCTTAAGTTTACTGATTTCTACTACATTAAATTAGCGATAAGAACACAGATTTAGCTTATTGTAAGTGTATACAATAATTTAACTAAATTCTTAGTTCGAATCCGGGCTCAGGTCAGTAGAACGTCCCTGAGTCCACCCTGCTCTTATTGGTACCTAACTCACGTTAGGGAAAGCAAAAGCCGGCTGGACAGAGCGCAGATAACACTATCCCCTTCGTATGCCGAGGTCACAAAAATAGTTAAACTCTACTTCACTTATGTCAGCCTACCCCCCCCCCCCCCCCCCCACCACCCCACGAATAGATGACTGAAAGAAACACTGCCCACCATTTGTATTAAATAATATTTGGAGAACTGAATGTCTTCTCAATTGTGCAATTACTAAAATTTAACTTGTGCTATAATAGAAACTACCATATACATAAATAGTACCATATAATAACACAGAAACTAACTCTACATTATCGTCTCTCTCTTGTTTGTTTCCCAACTGCACATTTCTTCTATTCCAACATGTGTATGACAGAACTAAAGCTACATTATCATATCCCAATTGTTTGTAAGCCTGATCCCAACTGTACTGTTTTAAATTTCAACATGTGTTATGACAGAACTAACCCTCCATTATTTTATCCCACTATTTTGTAAGCCAGTTCCCTTCTGTACAATTCTAAATTCCAACTTGTGTTATGACAGAACTAACCCTCAACATGTACAATGACTGTGTACAGAACTAACCCTCCTTTATATAATATCCCACTTGTTTGTAAGCCAGTTCCCTACTGTACAATTCTAAATTTCAACATGGGCTATGACATGAAGCAAATCGTCTCCCCCTTGTTTGTAAGCCAGAATTCGAAGTTCACAAGAACAGCGTAGAGCATGGACAGGCTGACCAGGGGCGACCCGAGGAAAAGTCTGTTCGCGACAGTTCTACTTCAGACTTTTCACTGTGTGTAGGTATCAACTACGGTGTCTTGTGATCTATTTAAAATATATGTTGTAAAAATTGTGCCGGATTTTTTTTTACCTATCCACACCACTCTTGTTCTTTAACACGATTTCGTTTTGTGCTCATTGGTAGTTTCACATAAGGAAAGCGCAATCTATATATATAATTCTCCTCTGCGAGCCGTTAGAAAACAAGCTGCAAGCGCCTCCTTACAGTCCCCTCTCTTTCTCTCTATCACTATCACTACCACCCTACCCCACCCCCACATTGTCTGGTGAGCTGTGGTCACGTTAATGATTACAAACCGTACAGCCAGGTTTAGTGACGGCTATTAGGGGCAGATAATTTAGTTTGAACCGACTTTAAACTTACAGGAGGTAACTAAGAGGAGGCTGCTTTCACGGAGGGGGGGGGGGGGGGGTGTAGGGTCGGGGTTAGGGGAAAGGAGGGGGGTTAGTGTTTTAAAGCAAATATTTTCAGTGGCAGCATTGGTACTGTCGAATTCACACATTATGAATTACTGAAAGTAGAAAATAAATCAACTAAGTAGCGGCGTATGATGCGCCGCGGGTCGGCTCGTTTGTTATATTTTAAGTCATTTTTAGGTCCATATCACGCCACAGTTTTTATTTTGGGCCACTCCTAGTTTCATATAAGGCCAGCTAAATAGGTATTTGGGGGCAACATGTTTTATACCAGGCCAGTTCTGTAGGCCTATGTATTTTGGAACACACAGTTCCATACAAGGCCGATTCAGTACGTAATTAGGGCCAGTTCTAGTTCTGTATATCCTTAAATATTTAAGCCTATTAGGGGGTCGTCCATAAATGACGTCACACTCGTAGGGGAAGGGGGGTCCGTAATTTTGTGACGGTGTGTGATGAGGGGGAGGAGGAGGGGGGGGGGGGTTAGATGGTGTGACGTCACTTTTTTGCATTATAAAAAAGCAATGTAAGAAAATGATTTTTAGCGGTTATTTCGTGTTTTAGAAAACGGTTTTATTAAATTGTAATATGAATTGATCAAAATACTCTATGTTGACAAGTTCTAACAAGATTTTGGAAAAATGTCAAGGTTTTAAAAAAAATTCAACTGCAATTTTGAGGTGTGAGGTCATTTTAGGGGGGGGGGTCTGGCTTTTTGTGACGACGTGTGACGGAGGGGAGGGTGGGAGGTAAAAATCGTCAAAAAAAGCGTGACGTCATTTATGGATGACCCCTTAGCCACCCTTTAGTTACCGGTAATTATTCATTTTAATTCTTATTAAAATTATCAAAATTTCGTTTTAGACCAAACGCAGGCAAATAATTTTAGTGACCTACGGCCGGAGCGGTTCCAGTCTAACCACTGACATCATCGCACAGAATCCGGATGTGTTTACCTACTACGAGCCGCTGCACAACTTGGCTAAGACGTTTACAAATCAGCAGGACGAATACAGGAAGCTTCGCGACAAGTAGTGAGTTCGAATCTCCTTGAGGGAAACTTTTAAAAAAAATTTTTTTTATAGTTTTAATAAAACAACTGTAATTGTCAGTCTGAGTAAAAGATTTTCTAATTCAAGCAAGGTTTTAACTAAACATTTAAACCGAAATCTAACATTATCTTGCTAAATATAACAGTTTATATTAAACATTTCAGTCTAAATCTTACTAAACTAAATCTAACATTACCTTACTGAAATTTTAAGTCTTCTAATCTAGCATTTTCTTACTAAATATTTAAGTCTCAATCTTTTGTCTTACTAGCCTAAATTCAAAATTAGCTTACTGAACATTTGTCTAAATCTAATTTTGTCTTACTAGATATTTAAGCCTAAATCTGAACTTATCTTACGAAACATTTCAACCTTCATCTAACATTATCTTACGTAACATTTCAGCCTTCATCCAACATGATCTTAAACAGCATTTCAGCCTTCATCCAACATGATCTTAAACAGCATTTCAGCCTTCATCTAACAATATCTTACAAAACATTTCAGCCTTAACCTAACATTATCTTTCGAAACATTTCAGTCCCATCCAACATTATCTTACGAAACATTTCAGCCTAAATCAAACATTATCTTAGGAAACATTTCAGCCTTCACATATCATTATCTTACGAAACATTTCAGCCTTTAAAGAAACTTATCTTACGCAACATTTTAGCCTTTATCTAACATTATCTTACAAAACATTTCAGCCTAAATCAAACATTATCTTAGGAAACATTTCAGCCTTCACATATCATTATCTTACGAAACATTTCAGCCTTTAAAGAAACTTATCTTACGCAACATTTTAGCCTTTATCTAACATTATCTTACAAAACATTTCAGCCTTTATAGAAACTTATCTTACGCAACATTTTAGCCTTTATCTAACATTATCTTACAAAACATTTCAGCCTTTATAGAAACTTATCTTACGAAACCATTCAGCTTTCATCTAACATTATCTTACGAAACATTTCAGATTTTTATGTAACACTATCTTACGAAATATTTAAGTCTTCATCTAACAGTATCTTACGAATTATTTCAGCCTTTATCTAACATGATCTTTCGAAACATTTCAGTCTTCATATAAATCTATCCTAAATTATCATACGAAATATTTCAGCCTCCATCTTACATTATCTTACAAAACATTTCAGCCTTCATCTAACATTTTCTTCGAAACATTTCAGCCTAAATCTATCATGATCTTACGAAATATTTCAGCCTAAATCTATCATGATCTTACGAAACATTTCAGCCTAAATCTATCACGATCTTACGAAATATGTCAGCCTAAATCTATCATGATCTTACTAAACATTTCGGCAATCATTTAACTTGACCTTACGAAACATTTCAGCCTTCATGTAACATTATCTTACGAAACATTTCAGCCTTCGTGTAAACTTATCTTACGAAACATTTCAGCCTTTATCTAACATTATCTCACTAAACATTTCAGCCTTCGTATAACATTATCTCACTAAACATTTCAGCCTTCATCTAACATTATCTCACTAAACATTTCAGCCTCCATCTAACATTATCTCACTAACATTATCTCACTAAACATTTCAGCCTTCATCTAACATTATCTCACGAACATTATCTCACTAAACATTTCAGCCTCCATCTAACATTATCGCACTAACATAATCTCACTGAACATTTCAGCCTTCATCTAACAAAGATACCGGAATACAACGCCATCTAACATTATCCCACTAACATTATCTCACTAACATTATCTCACTAAACATTTCAGCCTCCATCTAACATTATCTCACTAACATTATCTCACTAAACATTTCAGCCTTCATCTAACATTATCTCACTAACATTATCTCACTAAACATTTCAGCCTTCATCTAACATTATCTCACTAACATTATCTCACTAAACATTTCAGCCTTCATCTAACATTATCTCACTAAACATTTCAGCCTTCATCTAACAAAGATACCGGAATACAACGCCATCTAACATTATCCCACTAACATTATCTCACTAAACATTTCAGCCTTCATCTAACAAAGATACCGGAATACAACGCCAAAGCCGTGGACATCTTGGAGCAGCTGCTGACGTGCGACTACGATCGTCTGCCGGAAGAAGCCACTCAAAATCATCACATGTCCTGGTACAGCACAGTGGACATGTACAAGTGTCTAAAGACGTGAGTACAGCACGTGCGTAGGGGAGAAGGCTGTGAGTGAGTGAGTGTAGATGTTGATTTGTATGTGGAAGAGAAACTGTATGTGTGTGTCCTTATGTGTAAAAGAGAGAACGTGTGTGTGTATGTGTGTGTGTGAAAGAAAATCTAAGAATGAGTGACCATGCGTGTAAGACAGAGAGAGAGAGAGAGAGAGAGAGAGAGAGAGAGAGAGAGAGAGAGAGAGAGAGAGAGAGCGTATGTGAGAGGTTTATGTGTGAGAAAGATGAGTGAGTGACCATGCGTGTAAGAAGACAGAGAGAACGCATGTGAGAGGTTTATGTGTGAGAGAAATGAGTGAGTGACCATGTATGTAAGAGGGAACGCGTGAGTGCGTAAGAGAGAAAGAATGTGTTGAAGTGTACTTGTGCGTGTGCGTGTCAGTGTTTATATGATAGAGAGAGAGAGATATATATATATAGAGAGAGAGATAGAGAGAAAGAGAGATAGAGATAACTAGGGTGTATGTGAGTGAAAGTGTGTGTGTTAGTGAGCTAGCAGCCTGCCAACTGAGGTTTATAAAGCGTATTCCCAGGTAGATACAGAAGAGGTTTTTTATTTGTTGACGGGTACATTAATCCGATTAGGGGAAGTAAATGTAGTTGGGCATGATGCAATATAGAACGGCGTGGTTAGATGGTAGAACGTACGACTGCTAACCCAAAAGTCTCTAGTTCGGATCCCTGGCTTAGTCCACCCTTATACCGAATCCTGAATTAAGTTTATGAAAGTAAAGGCGACTAGTCATAGTGCAAAACACAGTACTCTACATATATTGAGAACGTACAGACGGGTCAACTCTACCTCATCTGCCCCATGAACCTCATCTTTCTAAATCGTCCGTAATATTGGAAATGGTACTTTACTTTTTTCTATTCACGAACTGTATTTTTGTAAAAGAAATACGAACTGTATTTTTGTAAAAGAAATACGAACTGTATTTATGTAAAAGAAATACGAACTGTATTTATGTAAAAGAATTGCGAACTGTACTTATGTAAAAGAAATACGAACTGTATTTATGTAAAAGATATATCAAGCTTTTTAAAAAGGACTTTAACTAAAAGTAAATTAAGGTAAATTAATTAAGTACTCAGAGATTTATAATATATGCATATTGATCTCATCAGTAACACAGACGAAGCCGGCAAAGAGAAATGTCTGAGTGAGGGGGAAGCAAGTTGCTTAGGGAAAAAAATCCAATTTATAAAAGTTATTCGACTCTCGGTAAGTAGGTTACGTTTAAATATTCTCATAACAGATGTTGGATTCCTATTGGTTAATTTAATCTTATGCCGTATTCCCATTTTGTTTAAGGTTACGTTTATTGGTGACCATACACTGTGCTTAAGGTTACGTTTATTGGAGACTAAGTTAACCAAGTGTTTTGTTCAATATTTTAGGTCCAGTTATTGGTACCATATTTTTAAGTCCAGTAATTGGTCCCATAATTTTTAGGTCCAGTTATTGGTTCAATATTTCTAGGTCCAGTAGTTGGTCCCTTATTTTTTGGTCCAGTTATTAGTCCCATGCATTTGTTTAGTTATTAGTACCATATTTTTAGGTCCATTCATCGGTCCCATATTTTTAGGTCCATTTATCGGTCCCATATTTTTGGTCCATTTATCGGTCCGATATTTTAAGGTCCAGTCAGTGGGTGACCTGATGAAGAAGTACCCGTGCATGAAGCTCATCTACCTGGTACGTGACCCTAGGGGGAGCTACCTGTCCAAACAGCGCGCCTTCAACATCATCTCGTCCAACACAACCTACGAGGCGGAGAGGTACTGTCGCCGTGTCAGTGAGGTAGGTCTTATTACGTTATGGAGGTAGGTCTTATTACGTCATGGAACTAGGTCTTATTACGTCATGGAGGTAGGTCTTATTACGCCATGGAGGTAGGTCTTATTACGTCATGTAGGTAGGTCTTATTACGTCATGGAACTAGGTTTTATTACGTCATCGAACTAGGTCTTATTACGTCATGGAACTAGGTCTTATTACGCAATGGAGGTACCGTCGCCGCGTCAGTGAGCTAGGTCTTATTACGTCATGAAACTACGTCTTATTACCTCATGGAGGTACAGTCGTCGCGACATCAGGTTAGGTCTCGAGTTCAAATCCGGAATCAAGTCAGTAGACCATCCGTGAGTCCACTTAACTCCGATGGGTATTGAACTCACGTTAGGGAAAGTAAAGGCGGCTGGGCATAGTGCTGACCACACTATCCCTTCATATGCCGAGGTCACAGAAACAGGTGAACTCTACTTCTCTTGCTCCTTAGACCGTCAGGTCTGGAAAGGGAACTTTATTTGAAACTAAATTTTAAATCACATTTAATGTTATAAAATTTATTTACAAAAGCCACTTAGGCTAATATGAGACTTGCTATTTCATCAGGTAGATTTTCGGTGAGGAAAACCTTGTACACATTGAAATCCCATAGACACCTATATATATATATATATATATATATATATATATATATATATATATATATATATATATATATATATATATATATATATATATATATATATATATATATATATATATATATATATATATATATATATATATATATATATATATATATATATATATATATATATACGTTGACCTCTGACCTCTGTTGCAGGATATTGAGGCTGCCATGCAGCTGAAAACAACCTACCCGTCTCGTCTGTACCTCACGCGCTACGAGAACTTGGCGGAACAGCCGAGCTCGGCCTATCAAAAACTCTACTCATTCCTGGGATTAAATTTCACGAAACAAATACAGGAGTTTGTTTACAATCACACGCAGGCCGGAAAGATGGACACTAACATTTACTCAACGTCTAAAGGCAATTCTTCAGGTAAAAGCAGTAAAGGCAGTTTTGTTAAAGAAATGGAAGGATATAGTTTGAGGGTGGCTTATGTACACGTGCAAGGATGTTTGGTGTCGGTGACTTTACTTACTAGAGTTAGAGTATATGCCTTGTCATATTCGATTTAGTATTACAGATTTCGCCATCGGCTTGTGAGGACTGATACTGATTTACAATAGTAATATTTCTTTTTGACATGCACTTTACTTTCGTTGAATTTTTTTTAATACCTAGTACATAACGTCCTACTTCAATTTTGTTTATAAAGGTGAAAATTAAAATATTAAATTAAATGGTGATTCAATGTTCCGTTGCAGTGGCGTAGCGAGGTCGGGTGTCACCCGGTGCGACACTTAATGGTGTCACCCCCCCAGAGGCATAGAGACCCTTCCCAGGGACAAACTTTCAAATTTTCGATTTGCACCCCCCCTCAAACTTTCGATTTGCAACCCCCCCTCAAGTTTTCGATTTGCACCCCCCCCTCAAACTTTCGATGTGCACCCCCCCCCCTCGAGTTTTTCTCTATATATTTTGCTTTTTTTTTGCCTTGGTGTCACCCCCCTAAATGGTGTCACCCGGTGCGGTCCGCACCCCCCGCCCCCCCCCTCGCTACGCCCCTGTTCCGTTGAGAGTGGGGAGATTACCGGGGAACCACCCTGCAATAAAAATAACGGAAATACTGAAAAATATTTAAGACCACTAAACTTTTTAACCCACCAAGTCCATTTTACTACTTCACAACATTCGAAAAAAATATTGTTTCGCTGATAGTGTTCTGTTACTTTTCATTATGATGTGGTGTATTTTTAAAACTATTTTGTAAACTATGATAGCATTTATTAGTTTTACAACAGATATTTTGTAAACGACGATGACAAAGTTGTGTTTGATAAAATGTCGTCGTTCTTTTTTTCACCAGAGGTCAGCTACGCTTGGAGACAGAAAATAAAATTTGAAGACGCCTCCATATTTGATACTCAGTGTCGGGAAGTGTACTACAGATTGGGTTATCTCCCTGTCAACAGAGAGAAAGATTTGAGACAACTGAAGAAATCTCTTAAGTTCGACAAGAGTTATCTTTCTTAACATTAAATATACAAGATGTTAGTATTATTTTAAAACAAAATTCGCTATTCTACACGTACGTTTCTTTACTACATTAACAACAGTCATATTTGCTAGTTTTGCTACTTCTTTGTAGTTTCACAAACATTTTTTTTTTAAATTTAATTTTTTTTAATTTAAAGAAAAGAGGTCTATAAATAAGTAAACTTTGTACATGTCAAAATAGCAAGTTTCGTTTAAATTCTAAGGTTCCAATCATATTTATTTGAAGATTAAAGAATACAAGAAATTGTAGTATTTCGCATTGTATTGCTGTAGCTTGTATAAAAAATGTAGGGAACAAGTAAAGAAAAATGTTTTTAAGTTGAAATTGTCAGAAATAGCTCTACACAAGTGACAAAGCCAAGACTTAAAAAATAATATATTTGATATAATTCAGATATTTTTCTTCACCGTTAATGAAATGTGTTGGTCATTTTATTTTATATAATATATATAGTGTTATCTTTTAAATCTTTTAACACCAATACTCTGGCTTCATGCAACTTTGTGACCTCTTTCATTACATATTTACTGTTTTACCAAGATATATATCCTACAAACTCAGTTTTCATCGCTTATTTTTGGGTTATATCCCCTATGAATCAGTTGTGTCAAGTACCAAAATAGCAAACGATTTTCTTCTTATGTGTAAGTTAACTTCAATTCACCCGGTGTAGAAGTTTGACAAGCAAGTGTACGTTGTACCAATATATTTACTTACTACCATGATGTATAAAATAAAACACATTTTTTAATACAAGAATTTTGTTTAGTTTAATTTATCTTCAACAAGTAGCAGGAAAATGTTGATGTTACAGATTTTTTTTTTATTCGTGATTACGTTTGCAACTATGAGCTTGGCCTTTGAACATGGACCACGTATAACAAGTTTATAGAATTACAATCTAATAGCTAGCAGGTCTGAGCTTAATGATGTTTTTCTGGACTATACTCCATGATCACTGTAACTGACATTTACGAGGCTAATGCATTTACACAGTATGCATTTCTTTAGCATCAGGCCAATATCGGATTAGTGCAAATGCAGTGTAAGCATTCCTTGAAGCTTAATCGTTTAGGACTCTGGTCCAGTTTGTTTATTTCGGACATGATGTAAACACATCAGCTAAAACTTAACAGAAAGGCAAACCTTCAACAGTAATTCAAATTTATGGTTTGTATTCTCTTCTATATAAACCTTTACAAAATATCTTTTAATGTTTGCTTCATGTAGCAAAAGTGTTTTAGATTTAGATTTAGACATCGATTACTAATTGCCAGACTATATATATATATATATATATATATATATATATATATATATATATATATATATATATATATATATATATATATATATACATATATTGAGATTAAAAGGTTTAAGCAATAAGTTGAGAATTTTAAAAAGTTCTTAAAAGAGAAAAACTTCTGGATATACTGAATTTATTAATTATATTTAATTTAAAGTCGGTATTTAAAATACAAGACATATATTTAAATATGAATAATGAATGATAAAAATAAAATGGAGTGCTCTAAATTTATTTTATATATCTAGCGTAGCATATACAAATAATTCCTAATTTGAAATGTCAATACATTTGATGCCTCCCCCCCACCCAACTACTTTAATATTAAATTCGTTTGTTATTTCTGTTAGGTTTTAACAATATTATCAAACTTCTTTTTGAATTAGCTTGACAGATGTCGAATTTCGAGAATGCAAAAAAGTAAGTTTAAAAAAAAATTCATAAAATATAAAAAAAAAAACAGTCAAAACGACCCATTTAATAAGATGTTCTTTTTCCATACTGGTATTTTCTATGACATTCAAGCAAGGCTAGTGTTAGTAAATAATATAAAAAGCTGTAAAATAATGAGCCACGTATTTGTTGCTTGGTCCAGAGTTGACTGAAGCAAACAATTTCTGCCCTGACTCCTAGCGACCGAGGTATTGTAGTTCCCTGGCCATCTGACAATTTCCACACGGTCCGCACCAACACTCAGTCATGTAGTCGTTGTGAATAGAGCCCTAAACAGAAAGTAGGTTTTGCCTCTTAACACATACACATACAAGTAACAGTATATCTCTCATAAATAAATGAATATATATATATATATATATATATATATATATATATATATATATATATATATATATATGTACATATATGTTTCTCCGTACCTATCAGGGGCGTAGCGAGGGGGGGGGGGCGGGGGCGGGGGGTGCGGACCGCACCGGGTGACACCATTTAGGGGGGTGACACCAAGGCAAAAAATAGCAAAATATATAGAGAAAAACTCGAAGGGGGGGGGGGGTGCAAATCGAAAGTTTGAGGGGGGAGGGTGCAAATCGAAAATTTGAAAGTTTGTCCCTGGGAAGGGTCTCTATGCCTCTGGGGGGGGGGGGGGGGTGACACTATTAAGTGCAGCACCGGGTGACACCCGACCTCGCTACGCCACTGGTACCTATATATTATCATTTTTTTTCCGTTAGTACCAAAGAAAAAAGGGGCAGATGATATAGTTCATATGTTTCAAGACCTCGGTTTACTGGGGGATAGTGTGGTTAGCACTATGCCCCGCCGCATTAGTGAGTCCGACACTCCTTAAAGGTGGGTGGACTCAACAACGCCCTACATACTCAAGCCTGTGATCTGAACTCGAAACACTTCGAATAGCAGTTCGTGCTCTACCATTTGACAACGCAGTCACCCCCACCTCTCTCTCTCTCCCTCTTTGCTTACCATAATATTTTCCTGGGTCCTTAGTTTGACTCTCATCGAGGTAAAAGAAAAGGGCACCAAGCAGGGCGTCAAACAGTTCTCGTCAAGTTTCTTGGCATTCCTCATCAGTAGACAGGTACCACAGAACGCGCCCAAAAGACCTACACGATTCAACATTTTAAATAATTTATCAAGTACTTGGAAATAAGCCACTGTTTACTATACAATATTACTGAGTAATGGAGTGTAAATAAAAACAGTATGGTATCAACGTATGCAGTCTGCATACATCTGTTTTGATTAAGAAGAAATATCATAGTCAGCTAATATTTACCGTGACTCAATTCACATGATTATTCTTGTCTATTAGTTAACGTTTGAATGCCATTTTAAGTAAAATCAGGATATAGAAATTGTTGGTAAATTTGTGACAAACTGGCTGGCTCTTTTTTGTTTCGTATAAATACATAGACCGAATTTTCTTTAAGAAAATTATTCTTTATGGAATCCTAATATATAAAAGGCCATGTGCGCTCTTCTCTCTCTCTCTCTCTGTCTGTCTGTCCGCAAAATATTTTCGCCGGACATCACGTCAGAATCGGCAGCGATATATGGATACCTTTATACGGACTTTTGTTGAAAATAATACGTTAGATGTTTTAAATGTATAACCACAATTTTATTTAAAGAAGAAAAATAAAAAAAATAAAGGCGTATTCGAATGTAGAGAAACAGTATTATTTATGCAACCGGAAAAGTGTTTAAACTTGGGACAAGAACGCATTTAACAATGAAGTCGCTTATTGTTTACACTAAAAAAAGAGCACGAAACTGATGACGTCATCTTCCGAGTTTAGAATAAAAAGAAATGAGCTATTTCATTCAAATATGATTTAGAGCTATGGAATGTATACAATACGATTTTCTCGGCCTAAACTTAAAAAAATTATTTTATCTATTTGGATTCTAGATCTAGAGATTCTAGATCTAGATATTGATCTAGATATTCTAGATCATATAGATCTAGAGATTCTAGATCTAGATCTAGATGATCTATAAAGCTAAGTTGTCGGGTGCCCGATAGGGCACTTCCCGGCGCCACAGGCGCTTCAAATTTGGCAGGACCTTGCCTTGGGGCAACAGAACACGGGGGCCGGTTGGCCGAAAAGTCTACGATGAGGGGGTAAAAACTGACCTCGACTGACCGGCGCCTTATATGGGCGAGTTAATTAAGCATTCAAATTCTCAATGTTTTCGAAAGCCTAAGCGAAGCTGGGTAGCATGCCTAGTCTAATATAAAATGACTGTATGTTTACTTGTGGCAAAGAGGCATAAAGTAAAAAAAACTTGAGTTGATCCCGTTGTATAATTTTTCTAACGTGTTCATTTTTGCACTGTACTTTAAAAAATGTTTAAAAAACTCAATATTGATAATTTTTACAGCGTATCATTTTTATTGACGTCATGTGCAAAGAACAAATTTAAACTAAATATATTACCCTTTACAAAAATTAAAATTTTGTTTAAGAAAGTGTACGTCATTTTGTACCAATTATTTCTCAGGATAAATTACTTTTGTTTAAGTTTGTTTTGATGTTGAAAAAAAAAAAAACAAATTATCTAATTAGCATTGTTTAATAAAGTGCAACATGGTAAGTGAAACACTGGTATTTTGTAAATGACCGTTTATTTATTGTATACACTAAATGTACTTCTACTTATAATTAATTTGAAAAATAACAGTTTAGAAGCTGAAGCCGTTGTTCTTAAATATTTAAGTTTATGTTTCCATTTGCATTATTTTTTGCGTTGTTTGTTTGATTTTGTTTTTGTGTTTGTGTTTGCGTTTGCATTTGTGTTTGTGTTTGTTTTTGGAATTTCTGTCTGTGTTTTCGTTTTCGTTTGTTTCGCTTTTATGTTTGTGTTTACTTTACGTTTGCGCTTGCGTTTGTTTTTGAGTTTGTAATTTGGTTTTGGTTTTGGTAGGTTGTAGTTAGGGTAAAGTTTAGAATTAGAGTTAGGGTTAGGCTTATGTGTTATTTTCTCAAACGTCCATATTTGTATATATATATATATATATATATATATATATATATATATATATATATATATATATATATATATATATATATATACTTTGAAAAGTAATATATTTCCTAAACCCTGGAAATTCCTTGACATATAGGGTTTTCACAGTGGCCGGTGCCAACAGTTATAAATACTTTTGAGAATTTGAAATTAAAATTAAGTGCTACTTCAGGTTAACGAAATTCGTTTGAAAGTTAGTACAACTATATACGATCGTATACCAATGTATTGTACTAGCCGTCACGGCCAACCCTGGAGATGGATATGGATATCGATATGGATAGAAATAGGGATAGGTATTTGATTGTTCATTTTAAAGAAGGGCTATGTAATTTTACGGGGTGGGAGGTAATTGACATAGCGGATTTTTACAGTGGGTAATTGAACCTGGGGTAATATAGACATGTATATGGCAGACACGATAATATGCAGGTGATTTATAAGACAATGAGCATATAATAAAAAGAACATGTTATAATCAGAATTAAGGATAAGTTAGTCCCTAAAATACTTACATATATTTATGTCATTAAAACAGTCGCAGACACCAGAGTTCCAGTCTCTGAGCGGCTTGCCTGCAGTACCAGGCTGGACGACCACGGTACCGACCTGACCAGGCTGGTACACCACTGGGGTGCCGTGCTGAAATCAAAGTCACATTACATGTTATGAGCTCGAGAAAAGGATAAACACGTTAACTGTATAGTATTAGACAAAATACAATATATTATTCACTTTGAGGTTGGAATTATGTGATATTTGTTCAAGAACAAGACATATTCAATAAAAGAAGTAACTAATTAAGAGAAGAAAAAAATATAAATACCTACCTGTGCGTAAGCAGCCATGATGAAAATGGAGACCTACAAATAAAATATGCGTTTACACATATTTAAAGATATTTGTTTTCGGTTTATTGTGTTTCAAACAATAATATGTTTTTTTTGTATGTTTGTCTAATATTACAAAGGTGCAAACATAAAAGTACAGTGAGCGCCTCGGCTATCTCTAAATGGTTTGGCGCCAAGCAGAGGCGTAGCGACCCTTCCCGGCGCCCGGGGATAAACTTTTCGATTTGCACCCCCCACCCCCTCGAGATTTCGATTTGCATCCCCCCTCGAGATTTCGATTTGCACCCCCCCCCTCAAACTTACGATTTGCACTCCCCCTTTCAATTTATTTTTCCAACCCATTTTGGCGCCCCCTAAGGTCGGCGCCCGGGGACATATGTCCCCCCCCCCCCGCCCCCCTCGCTACGCTACTGGCGCCAAGAGATCCAGAACGGCTATCGTAACACTTGGTATTCGTTAATCGGGCTTTCTGCATAGAGGGAAAGGGGTAAAACTATATACAGCCTCAAAACTGCAACAGATTGCGTGTCCCGAAGCACCTTGGGCTTCCCTGTGAGAACGATGGCGCCTAAATTAGTTTTTAAAAAGTCAAAATACTAAAGACACGATGAACAACAGTAATCGTAGACTATATCGAATCAGGCGCGTCCTCCGGCTTAACTGGATGGGACTATTAGGCGTCCCAGCTCACTTGTGAGCACTGTGGCACCTACGTTCATTTTAAACAGAGCGATAGGCTATGGATACAATGGGTTTCTACAGGCGCTAACTATATAGAACCAGTCGCGTCCTCCGGCGCCCCACAGGGGGTGACTTGGCTCGACGGGCTTTCACGTGAGCGCTATGGCGCATACGTTTGTTTTGAAGAGTGCGATAGAATATGGATAAGATGGGTATAATAGTACTCAGTAGCGTAGCGAGGGAGGGCAGGCGGGGGGGGGACATATGTCCCCGGGCGCCGACCTGAGGGTGTGCCAAAATGGGTTGGAAATGTAAATTGAAAGGTTGAGGGGGGGAGGTGCAAATCAAAATCTTGAGGGGGGGGGGGGGTATTTACATTTAAATAACTCAGCTTTAGACAAAAAGAAAATAGGATTGGTAAGACATTGATGAAACCCTCTTAAAATATTACGCAAGACATTTTCCCGCATAAATCTGATATTATAGGTAACAAGTTTATAAATAATCCCCTCCACCGGTCCAACAGTTTGTTAGTTTGAGCTGTACAGAGAGGTGCCTACCCCCCCCCCCTATTTAGTATCTTGACAATCCTTTGGACTGGATTAACATTTCTATAATCCCTACCGTCCTATTGTTATTAGAGTATTATGAAATTAATTTCTTTTGGTTATTTTTATGCTAATTACAACGAAGATTTATGAAAATAAACAATGCCACAATCTATCTTTGGTGAGAAGTTGTACATGATGTCTGACGTCTCACTTCAGCCGTTCGGTATCCCACATTAAGATGTCATTTTAATGGAATCGTTTCATCTTTACATCAAGTACTTAGCCTGCATTTTATTTATTGAATCTTCTATCCATTACTTGCTTTTAGTAAATTACCTGCCTGTTCCACTTCTCACCACGATGATGACTTTTAAGCTGTGTATCTTCTTCTTCTTCTTCGTTCTTAATGTTTGGAAGGGATCGAGACTTATCTGGCCGAGGGTTCGAACTCGAGACTTTTCGGTTTAGGAACCATGAGCTTTCCCGACTCGACCACGCCGACCCCTTGTCTATAAACGTATATTTTTACTAACCAGAGTCTTAACGATGATGTCAAACCTTAAACAATCTATCTATATATATAATTCTCTTCTGGGAGCCGTTAGAAAACAAGCTGCAAGCGCGACTTACAGTCCCCTCTCTTCCTCTCTATCGCTACCACCCCCCATCCCCTCACATGATCTGGTGAGTTGTGGTTCACGCTGTTTACATTTTACAATCATGGAGACGGGTTTGGTGACGGCTATTAGGGGCAGATAATTTAGTTTGAAACGATTTTAAACTTAGAGGAGGTAACTAAGAGGAGGCTGCTTTCACGTGGGGGGGGGGGGGAGGGGGGTTTAGTGTTTTTAAGCAAATATTTTCAGTGGCAGCATTGGTACTGTCGAATTCACAAATTATAAATTACTGAAAAGTAGAAAAAAACAACTAAATAGCGGCGTATGATACGCCGCGGGTCGGCTCGTTTTTTATAAAACTGATTGAAAACGTTTGAGGTTGTTCTAGACTGGTAGATAAAAAAACCCATTATTTTTTGCGGAGGGGTAAACATTTTGTCTCACCACTCCCTCATATACAACATACCCACACGAACGTGAACTTTATGCATACTTAAATGTAAACTACTGACAATAGATTAGTAAATAAAAAAAAAACTTACAGTATGTTTAATGGAGTAGTGCGCGACCTAAAAACACCAGACCTTCTAGACTCACTGACTTGCACGCCGCTGAAGTTGTTTCTCACACGATAATGCAGGATGCACGCTTGTTTTAAAGATATATCATCTCAATATCGCGCGTCTGTCGTTTTCCTGATTGTAAATTTTAAATGGAGGAAGGAATCTGGTCCTTCGCGATAACAATTTACTACTGCTGTCGATTTCTGATAAATTTATAACAGGACAGCAAACGATGGTTAAATGTCGTACAGGCAAACGCATTGACGTAGGCAAAGGGGGAGGGGTTGGGTTAGGTTATAACACCCCCTCCCCCTCCATGTACTCCAAAAATAACTATTGTTCTACATTGAATTATAGCTAATATTGTTCTACGTTAAATTAAATTAAAGCTATGACTTGTGTCTCTATCATTTAGGGCAGCTAACAATGGTTAAATGTCGAATAGCTAAACGCAGTGACATAGGCAAGGGGGATGGGGGAGTTGGGTTAGGTTTTAACCCTCCTCCATGTACCCCCAACATAACTACTGTTCTACGTTGAATTAAAGCAATGACTTGTGTAATCGTGCTGTGAGTTGCGAGAACCAGTTTGTACCTGTGTTTCTGTAAGAGTATATTAGGCAGAGGCGTAGCGAGGGGGGGGGGGGCAGGGGGTGCGGAACACACCGGGTGACACCGTTTAGGAGGGTGACACCAAGGCAAAAAATAGCAAAATATATAGAGAAAAACTTGAGGGTGGGTGCAAATCGAAAGTTTGAGGGGGGGGGGAGTGCAAATCGAAAATTTGAAAGTTTGTCCCCGGGAAGGGTCGCTACGCCTCTGGGGGGTGACACCATTAAGTGCCGCACCGGGTGACACCCGACCTCGCTACGCCACTGATACTAAGTGTATAAGAACGTGTGTGAGTCTTTAAGGTTAGTCCAGTTCTCCCAGAAGGTTAGTGTACGTTAGTTCTGTACTATTTATATAGCCACTGTATCTTAGTTTTTGGCACTGGCGTTCGTATTTAGTGTTTAGAGAAGACTGTGTTAATGTAGGTAAAATTTACTGTATTAAACTCTTTTATTGTTAACGAGCCGTTTTTAAGTTGAGTCGTGTTTTGTAATCATTATGTGGTTGTCTCGTCTTGTAAGTCGCGTGGCGCACCGGATCACCCAATACCGTAAAGGCGTATCCGCGGTCATAAGAGTGTAAAATTGGCAACATTAGCAACACGCGAACGTGTTAAATTGTCAGCCAATATTTAATTGGACTACACCTAGCCCAATCATAGAAACATCAGCCCACATTCAAGTCCGCGAAACAGGAAGTAAACAAATCAGATACGTGTGAAGAGTGGACGGCACATGCACAGAAGTAGATTAAGCCTAGTGACGTAGCCGGGGTCGTCTCCTTACATATATATATATATATATATATATATATATATATATATATATATATATATATATATATATATATATATATATATATATATATATATATATATATATATATATATATATATGTGTGTGTGTGTGTGTGACATGAGCGCGCGCCCTGATTATAAAATAATGCAAGCGCATTTACAATTACTACGCTACAAACGCAGTTCAACTTTTATTAGTTGTATACTTAATAATTAGTCTATTTAATAATTGGTCTGTTCTCGCAAATTGTAAATCGCGGAAATCGTTTCAAACGTGTCTGGAACAGAGTTTCTTTCAGGCATCTACCCCCCCCCCCCCCCGCACGAAATAGAATTTATATATAAAATATAAAAAATATATATAATTTACCAGTGTACCAATGTCCCCCCCCCTCCCCGAAAGTTTTAAGTGCCCCCCCCACCGCTTGGGGGCGGGGGCATTCCCTGTGCTCTCTAAGCGCAAGACATACACACAATTGCAGCATTTTTCATTATACTGTAGTAGTTTATATTAAAAAATGAACGGAACGAGTAAAGGAAACATGTTTTTAATTCAAATGTCAAAAGTCCTACTGCACAAAGCAAAAACAAAAAATATTATATTTGATACATCACACATTTTCTTCATCATTAATGAAACGTGTTAGTCATTTTAGTTTACATAACATATAGTATTATTTTAAAACATTTCTGAACACCATTACTCAAGCTTCATGCAACTATGTGACCTCTTTCATTACACATCTAGTGTTTTACCAAGTTATATATCGTACAAGCTCGGTTTTCATCGCTTATTTTGGGTTACTTCCCCTATGAATCAGTGGCGTAAAATACAAAAATAGCAAACTTCAATTCACCCGGTGGTAAAGTTTTGAAAAGTAAGAGAAAATTCTCCTCTACATAGGCCTTCACAAAAGACCGAATACGATTATTTAAAAAAATATATCTTATTTAATGTTTCAACTCAAGCAACAAAAGTGTTTTAGATTTAAATATCGATTACTAATGGCCAGCACTGGCTATATATACATATATATATATATATATATATATATATATATATATATATATATATATATATATATATATATATATATATATATACTTGTACTGGCCTCTGTGAAAAAATTCAACTGTAAAGGACCATTTTTTTTTAACATTTAAACTTTTATTTTTCAAAAATGATAATTCCTTTTATTTTTTTTAAAGTAACTATTGGTTATGACAAAGTGACTAATCATACAGTAACTTAAAATAACAATGTTTATATTAAGATGAAAGATCCAAAGATGAGAGCTAAGTAAACTACAAATTTAGGGCCAGAATTGGAAAACAAAATGAAATGTACACATTACTGAATTTTACAAAATGATAGATGACATGGGATGATAGTAACAGACAAAACGCTCAGCAAAAACCATATGGGGCAGTTGAATAAAGAACTTTCATGTCTTTAAGCGTTAACTGCTGTTTTCAATTTCCTACCTGAAGGACCATTTTTTTTTTTTTTTTTTTTTTTTTTTTTTTTATGTTGAACATCCAAAGTTTTTAATCGCATTTTGTAACTTATTTATATCTTATTTGAGCTATCTTTCTTTTATTTGCATTATTTTACTAATAAAACAGCTACCAAATTATTTTCTGTGTGTTCAAACTTCCATTTTTTTATATTTAGTATACATCTGTCTCTGTCCGTCCAGCCTCCCTTCTGCCCGTCCATCCGTCTGTCTGTTTATTTGGTTTTTTTTTATCTTTTCTTGGGGGAAGGGTGGTGGGGGTGACCCTCAACCAGAAAACACAACTGGAGTAAATCTAAGTTAGCAGAACATATTAAACGTAAATTAGATTGTGCGTTAACTGAGGCTTTTACCAATGATTTATCTTGTGTTCACAAATATTTTTAAAAAGTATTTAACAGGGGAGGTAATTACCTACTAAACTACAATAATCAACACTAAACAATCATATATACTACAAAATTAACATACATTTTGGTAATACTTTTTTACAACGTGATACATTATTATTTATATTTTCTTTTTAAAACTACTATAAAAGTGATATATTACGTAAGTAAACTTTTTAATTTTAACCTCTTTTGTAAAATCAACACACATTAGTTTATTTTCAAAACATTTTCGATATTTCATAAAGATCACATTTATGAAATGTTAAATATCCGTGCTAAATATTTGATCTTGTTTAAAAGATCTCAAAACCCGGGAAACAGAAGACTGTTCTAATGTTAATTTACTCTGGGGGCTGATCGAGTGATGTTTGGCTTGAGATTGTCTAAATTAAAATAAATACTTTATTTATTTCTTTCCTGTATATTTCTTTTTTTTTCTCAGTTAAGTGAGAGTTCCCAGTCTATGTCTTAGCTTTGCTTGAAATATTTCTTTTAACTCGATGTCCGTGTATTTTGTGAAAAAATATCTGACTTTATTCCTAATTTGCCATATAGTCGATCTATAAATAGCCATTGCTACTAGTCTGTTTTCGTCTTCTGTTCTTTGTCTAGTCGTGTTAATTAAATTAAGTGTGATTGCTTTATTTGTTGTGGCTGTTTGATTGGTGGTGTTTAATATTTTCGCAAGTGTTTGCTTTGTTTTCTGTACTAATATACAATCTAAATAAATGTGTTTCTCAGTTTCTTGTATATTTTGTTTACACGTTTGACATGTTATTTTAACATTTTGATTTGACTTTGTATTTCGTGAAACTGGAGTTGTGTTAAAAATCAGTCTGTATGCTATTTCCTTTTCTTTTGGTGTAATGCGTTTATTATGTAGGTTTCTAAATGTATCTTTAATGTCTATTATATTGTGTTCCCTGGCCCAACTAATTCTCGTGTATAAGGGTGTCGCTTGTTGTTTGGTTAGGATGTCGTATATTTTTTTTTGTGTCTTCCCCAATAATGCTTTTGTTTCCTTGGAATGTTGCTAGCGTTTCTTTATAAAAGCTGCCTATGTCATTTCCCCCATAGTGTGGTGTTATGATGTTTAATTGTAAAATGCTCTTTATGTTTAACCCAATGTAGTACCTGAAGGACCATGACTTGTGTTTTTATTAAGCAGCAAATACCCGGCATTACTAGATATACTCAATGTATTAACTTAATTTTATTTAATTTAAAGACATTATTTAAAATACAAGATATATAAAAATGTGAATAACGTATAATAAAAATAAAATGGAATACTCTCCCTTTATTTTTAAATCTAGTGTGGAATTACAGACATAACTAATTCCTATTTGGAAACTTAAAACCATTATACTGCCTCCCCTTGCTATGGCTGTAAAAGTAAATTTATTTATTATTTCTATTAGGTTATAACAATATTATCAACCTTTAATAGAATTCGCTTGACAGATGTTGAGTTTCAAGAATATGAAATCATGATTTTTTAAAAAATTTACAATTGTTTAAAAATATTCTTTGTCTTTCAAAAAATACATTTAAAGCAATGAAGCAAAACGACAAAAAAAAAAAAAAAAAAAAGAAAAAAAAAAAAAACAAAAAAAAAAACAAACAAACAAAACAAAACAAACTCAAGGAAAGAGTTGGTTTAGAACTGAAACATTTTGGGCATTCAATAAAATGGTATTTTTTTTTATCGTACGGGTATTTTCTTTGAGATCATAGCAAGGAAAAGGTTAGTCTTTAGATATTAACATTAAAAACTGTAAAATACTGAGTCACGTATTTTTGTCACTTGGCCCAGAGTTGGCAGAAGCTTGCTACTTCGTGTCGTGACTCCTAGCGACGGAGGTACTTCAACTCCCTGGCCATCTGACAATTACCACACGGCCCGCAACAACATTCCGTGCAGCAGTCGCAGTCAATAGAACCCTAAACAGAAAGTAGGTGTCGTCAATTAACACAAAAAAGTAATAGTATAAACAGAATTATATATATATATATATATATATATATATATATATATATATATACATATCCCTATATATATATATATATATATATATATATATATATATATATATATATATATATATATATATATATATATATATATATATATATATATACATATGAGTTTTTCGTGCCTATCTATCGCCATCATCTTTTTTATGTTTGTACCCAAGACACATGGGGCAGGTGATAATGTACATCTGTTTCAAGACCACGACATGTAGAGGGATAGCGTTGTGAGCACTAAGCCCCGCCGAAATAGTTACCCTAACGTGAGTTCAATACTCCCTACACCTGAATGGACTCAGCGACGCTCTACAGACTTCAGCTCTGAACCCTAAGTCAAAACATTCGGAGTAATAGCCGTGTGCTCTACTACTTGACCACGGCTTCCCTTTTCTCTACTTACAATAATATTTTCCTCTGTCCTTAGTTTGACTCTCATCGCGGTTAATGCGTAGGGCACATAGCAGGGTATGCAGCAGTTCTCGTTCATTTTCTTGGCATTCCTCATCAGTAGACAGAAGCCACAGAACGTGCCACAAAGACCTGCACGATTCAACATTTTAAATAATTGATCAAATAATTGAGAATCAACCTTTTGTTTACTCACAATGTTACTGAGTAATGAAATGTAAATAAAACAGTAATGGTAACGGATACAAAAGTCTTTCAACACAATCTGCATATAATTGTTTTAGTTACGAAGAATTATCTCAGGTAGCTAATATTTCACTGAGACTCATGTGTTTTAGTTAAAAATTTGAGAAAACAAAATCTCTACATTCATATCTATTAGTAAAGGTTTGGGTGGAACTTGCGGTAAAATTTGTGTATAGAAATGGTAGGCAGGTTTGTGACAAAACAGAGGCGTAGCAACCCTTCCCGGCGCCCGGGGACAAACTTTCAATTTGGCGCCCCCCCCCCCCCTCGGGAGCAAATTTTCAATTTGCACCCCCCCCTCAAACTTTTGATTTGCACCCCCCTCAAACTATTTATAACGCAAAAAACGCAGCTAAAATAACATTTTAATTTGTTTTTGCAACCCATTTTGGCGCCCCCTAAGGTCGGTGCCCAGGGACATATGTACCCCCCTGTCCTCCCCCCCCATCGCTACGCCTCTGTGACAAAATCGCTCGTTGTTCGTGAAAATATATAGAGGCTAAAATATTTTAGACTGTACTACTTAATGAGAATAGGATATAAAATTATCAAATTCCGGAGACTTTTGAGTACTCGGAAATTTAGGTAAGTACTACTTCAGGTTATGGGAGGGCATGACCTGAGTGGTAGAGCGCTAGGATACTATCATGAAAATCTCAAGTTCGAATCTTGGTTCAAGTCAGTAGAACGCCCCTAGGAACTCCGATGTGTACCTAACTCACGTTAGGGAAGGTAAAGGCGGCAGTGGATTCTTTAATTTACTACTGCAGGTTACCGGAAATCGCCGGAAAGTCAGTACGCTTTTATACTTATGAACAGAGTTTCTTCCAGGCATCTCTTCGGGGAGCCCCCCCCCCCCGAAATTTTTTACCGCCCCCCCCCCCCGAACAAAATGAAATTTATATAATTTATATAGAAAATATATACTTTTAACAGTGTCCGCCCCCCCCCCCCCCCCGAAGAAAGTCTGGAAGGAACACTACTTATGAATGGTATTCGTTAATCTAAATTAAGCGGAACGCAAATTATCGGTATTTTAGAATTTGAACAGGGAGTGGATTTGTAATAGGAATATGTTTTAGAATATGGATGGGGATAGATTTATGCATAGAGATATTAATAAGAATAGGATTAGGGGTCTTGATGTGGATTAGAATAGGTATAGTTATAGGGAAAAATAGTTATATTTAGGGATAGGATGCTGTATAAGTGGGTAGGTATGGGTATGGATAGGGATATGAATATGTATAATGTTTATTCTTAAGAAGGGTAGAGGTAATTACCCAGGGTGGGGGCGTGGGGGTGGGGTGGTAATTGACATATGGCCGCTTAGCTAGGGTAATTGGTCTTCGGGTATTATAGACATGTATATGGAAGACATGTCAAGATGCAGGAGATTTATAGACAATAAGATAATGACACATATACAATATATTACTCAGAAGTAAGGGTAATGTAGTAGTAAGTAAAGTTCCCTTTCAAACCTTACGGTCCATGGGGCAAGTGAAGTAGAGTTCACTTGTTCATGTGACCTCGGCATATGAAGAGATAGTGTGGTCAGCACTATGCCCAGCCGCCTTTACTTTCCCTAACGTGAGTTAGGTACCCAGCAGTGTTGGGTGGACTCAGGGACGGTCTACTGACTTGAACCCGGATTCGAACTCGAGACTTACGGGTTGGCAGTCCAGCTCTCTACCGCTAGACACCTTGGGTAGTATATACATGTATATGAAAGACACGTTATTTATATAGAATAAGCTTATCATACTGAGAAAGTATATTACTCTAATGATAATGAAGTCCCTCAAATACTTACAGATACCACAGTCAGAAAAACAGTTGCAGAGACCAGAGTTCCAGTCTCTGAGAGGCTTGCCTGCAGCACCAGGCTGTTGAATGACCAGGGTACTGACCTGACCAGGCTGGTACACCACTGGGCTGCCGTGCTGAAATCAAAGTCAAGGTCATTGTACTCACTGTGTTGGACGTTATTAGCTAGAGGCTAGGATTAAACATGTTTATAGCATAGGACCTAATGGCTGAATAGTAAAAGCTATATCGTATTCACTTAGAGGTAGGAATGATGTGATTTTTGTTTACGAACAAGACATGAGAATTAAAAGAAACTACAAATTAAAATAAATAAAAAATTATTAAATACCATTGCGTATGAACTCATGGCGAAAATTGAGACCTACAATGAAAAGTAAATTTACAAACAATTACGAAAAGTTCAAACATTTACGAAATTTCAAATATTTACAAATATGTACAAATATTTACCAATATGTACAAATATACATGCTCACATTTAAATATATACATCTACAGTTTACAATAAATTACTAAAAAAAATACAAAACTTACCGTATGTTTACTCAAGTAGTGCGCGACCTTCTAATAAAAGTACCGACCTATCTCGACTCACGGACTTGTACTCAACTAAAGTTGTTTGGTACGCTATAATGCACGGTGTAGGCTTGTCTTACGGATACATCCTCTCAATATCGGTCGACTTACGCTTTCCTGTTTGTGAGCTTTTAAGAGAGGAAGAATAGCAAAGTTTCATTACTGTTGTTGATAACAAACGGCGTTGACTAACCCGTAGAGCGCTTGATTGCTAACCCGAAGGTATCGAGTTCGAATCCGGGTTCAAGTCAGTGGAACGTCACTGAGTCCACCCAGCTCTAATAGATACCAAACTCACGTTAGGAAAAGTAAAGGTGGCTGGGCATAATGCTGACCACCCCATCCCTTCATATGCCGCAGTCAAGAAACATATGAACTCTACTTCATCTGCTCAATGGTTCGTTAGATCTAAGGAATTTTTTCTGCTGCTGTTTGCTAATCCTTTAAAACTGAGCTTTAAACGATGTTTGTAGCCACGACTTTGATGAGTCGCATCATATTAATTCACGTCCAGCATGGGATTAATGGACCAGCCCCATCTACAGATGTTGTGTCGCCCATTGAAGACTTTTTAATTCTACTTGCAGTTTTCCTCTGTCTTTTACCTGTAGTTTCTACCACCTGTAGTTTTCCTCTACCTACAGTTTTCATCAACCTGTAGTTTCTGCTAACTGCAGTTTTCATCTACCTGTAGTTTTCATCTACCTGTATTTCTGCTAACTGCAGTTTTCATCTACCTGTAGTTTTCATCTACCTGTAGTTTTCATCTACCTGTAGTTTTCATCTACCTGCAGTTTTCATCTACCTGTAGTTTTCATCTACCTGTAGTTTCTGCTACATGCAGTTTTTCACTACCTGCAGTCTTCATCTACCTGTAGTTTCTGCCACCTGATTTCAACTACCTGTAGTTTCTGCTGCCTGCATTTTACAGCTGTCTGCCATTTCCTAAACTAAAAGTTGCTTTAAAAGTTAGTTTAGGGCCAAGGAAATTTAATACGAGGATTCTGTATATTCGATTAGTTAAGTAGTTGTATAGTAATTAGTAAATCAGGAGCATCGCTAGTTGCCATTACGGTAGTGTAATTCGATACATTGATAACATTTGTGTTAGCGAATCCTGTTAAATTGTTAACATTTGTATCGCGCGAAATGTAAAATTGTTGATTCGACTAAACCTTGGCCAGTCATATAAACGTCGTCCCTCTTTCAAGTGGGCTAAACGGGATGTAAACAAAACAGACACGAACAAAGAGTGGACGGCGCATGCGCATAAGCGGATCTAGCCTGTTACGTGTGTGTTTATGGGCGCGACTATAAGGCGGATGTTAGATGCATATATATATATATATATATATATATATATATATATATATATATATATATATACATATATATATATATATATATATATATATATATATATATATATATATATATATATATATATATATATATATATATATATATATATATATATATATATATATATATATATATATATATATATATGCGTGTGTTTGTTAGAGGGGAAAGGGGAGACTCATCCACTTCCTTTAAAAGACACGACCTTTACTATTCATATACACATTACAAAATATTAATGATAGGCTGGTACTTTTACCGGTTTTTTTTCCACCAATAGTGATACATTTGTCTCTATACAAGCATGGTTTGTTATAGTTTGAACTTAAACATAAACCCTCTCCCCCTCCCGCACTCACGCGTGAAATAACAACCACATAAACTAAAACAATATTTGTGAGACTTTTTTATTTTGTTATAGAAGTCTTGTTGGGAAAGTATTGCTAGGTGGGACCAACAAGATGAGACTAGCGTATTGACGGATACAAAGGGGGGGGGGAGGGTTAAAACGAGTCAAAACAATATGCCATTAATAAAGTTCACACTGTGTTCCTTGTCAGCAGGGTGTAAAAAAAAAACCCACACGAAAGCTGCAACACTTTTAATTTAAATAAAAATTCAAAATGTTATTCTGACTGGCTTTATTCAAGCTAGGACATCGTGAACAAAACAACACATGTAACCATTGTTTTATAGTTGTTGTGAATACAAGTTTACTGTTTTCAAAAGCATGAATGAAAGAAAACCCAATTATTTTGTTAAAAAAAGGGGAAAGCCCAGAGCTGGGTAAGGTTTAAATCTGTTGCTTAAGGCATTAAGCAGTTTAATTTTTTTTGTGCCTTTTTACAAGTTTCACAAAAAAAAAAAAAAAAAAAAAAAAAAATTTTCCCACCAATGGATTTAGTGTTTGTTTGAGATTTCTGGTCATTTGTTATGAATGAGAGATCCACTTTTTGGCCAAATATTTAAAGTGCGCTTTTAAATTGATAATTCGGCCACTTGATTAATGATGAGAGTGGTGGGCTTGTTTGCGGGCCTTCTTGATGTATTTCAGCTCTCTGGCCATCTGGCAATTGGCGCAAGGGAAGCAACACATTTCCATGCAACAGTCGCCGTCAATGGAACCCTGTGGGGGTGAGGCGTAAAGGTAGATAACTAAGTTGTCAACTCAAAATGATTATTGTGTTTTATAATAATAATACTAATACTAATAATACTAATACTAATGACAGTAATAATAATAATAATAATAAAAATAAAAATGAAAATAAAAATAAAAATAATAATAATAATAATAATAATAATAATAATAATAATAATAATAATAATAATAATAATAATAATAATAATAATAATAATAATAATAATAATAATAATAATAATAATAATAATAATAATAATAATAACAATAATAATAATAATAACAATAATAACAATAATAATAATAATAATAAGAAGAAGAATAATAATAATAATAATAATAATAATAATAATAAAATAGCTACAATTATATTTTCCTGCGTCCTCAGCTTCACTCTCATGGCCGTAAAGGCGTAGGGCACGTAACATGGTATACAGCAGTTCTCCTTCAATCTCTTGGCATTCCTCATTAGAAGACAAGTGCCACAGAATGTTCCACACAGACCTAAACAATGAAATTAACTCAACTTTGAGTATTGAAGAATACTGCATTGTTTGATGGCTTATACACTTAGAGGATAAAATGGGCTACCAGTAAACAGAAGAGTGCTTACAATCTATATATATATATATATATATATATATATATATATATATATATATATATATATATATATATATATATATATATATATATATATATATATATATAAATTCTCTTCATGGGGACCATGCGAGACACCACCAAGACGTAAGCTCAACAGAGCATATCGCTACCACCCCCACCCCCACCAGTCTGGTGAGCTGTTGCCTATAGGTTGAATTAGTGACGGCTATTAGGGGGCATATAATTTAGTTGTTAAACTATTTGAAACTAACGGGAGGTAATAACACGTTCCGCTTGATATTTTCATTGTCGCCTCTAAACTGTCGTCACGGATGGCTGCTTTCACGGGGGAGGGGGGAGGGGGAGGAGTGGATAGTGAGGGTGAGGATAATCATCCTTAAGTAGCTACTGGTGTTTAAAGCAAAATATTTTCAGTCGCAGCATTGGTAGTGTTGAATTCATTAAAAATGAGAAATAGCAAATAAAACAACTAAATAGCGGCGTATGCTACGTCGCGGGTCAGTTCGTTATATTTATTCTCTTACAACTAACCACGCACCAAGCCCACTCTCAGAGAAAGGTTGTTTGGTTGAAAGGTAATTTCTAGGCTAAATAACTTTTAAGCAATTTGTCATGGACTGATTTTTTTCTTTTGAATTTATAAAAATATTTAATGACAGACATACAATGAACGTTTCAACGTCCATGACAACATACACACACACAGAGCCATACTTACAGACATACATACGTGTGCACATATACATACATACATATACACATACACACATACACTTAAACACACATGCGCATATATATATATATATATATATATATATATATATATATATATATATATATATATATATATATAAATATATATATATATATATATATATATATATATATATATATATATATATATATATATATATATATATATATATATATATATATATATATATATATATATATATATATATATATATATATATATATATATACAAATGCTGAATATAACAATTTGATAAGGGCTGTTATTTTAATATTCTATATTGTGTTATATGGGTATAGAGCAGTGATTTCTAAATGATACACACAAACATATATATATATATACAAAGAACATGCAAATGTGGAATATAAAAAACAAGTGTGTCTTGTTCAATTTTCCCCCTAACAATCCGCAAAAAGCCAGATTTTAACAGATCAAAAGTCAATGATTGTTAAAACATTTGCTAATTTCTTCAGCTGGAAAACACTTTAGTCATGACGTCACGCAGGCGACCTCTCGTTCTGACTGGTTTGTTTTTGCTATTTCACTAGGCTACCCGCGACAGTCGGCAGACGTGACCCACATTTAGACGCGACAGCTTTTGACCCCGGGACTAAGACATAGCCTCGAAAGACACTTGTCCGAATGCCGTTTGCCCGAATGCCGTTTGCCCGAAGGGCGTTTCCCGAATCAACACTTGCCCGAAGGCGACAAACGCCCAAATGGACATTTGCCCGAAGGCCCTTTGCCCAAAAATGTTAACATTGTTGATTACCAACTATTTATTCTTATCAATGTAAAAATAAAATTTCGATAATCAATAAACATCTAAGAAAAAAGAAAAGGAAAGTGACTTTTGGGAAAACGTCCGGCTACAATATATACATATACTAGTTGCATACCCGTGCTCTGTCCCAGTAAATCTTTTTTAAATGTACCAACTTGGGAAAAGAACAAAAATAAACTCAAACACTAAAGATAACACAACGCCAACACAACGCATTCGCAAACACAATTGCAAACGCAACTCGCAAACACAAAGGAAAACACAAACGCAAACACAAACACAAACACAACTCAAAGTCAAACACAAACACAGACAAACACAAATAAAAATTTAAACACATACACAATACCCAAAGATAAACACAAACACAACACAATTACAAACGCGCACACAAAACGCAAACCTCAACGCATCGCAAACAATAACGCATAACATAAACACACACTTAACTGCAGAAATAAACACATAGTACTCACAGTCTAGCCCGGGGCGCCAAAACTTAGTAAACGGCTATAATACCCCACGTTATCCACAGTCTATTGCACTCACTTAAACAAACGTAGGCGCCATAGAGCTCACAGGGAGGCCCGGTTTACCAAATAGCACTCTGTTGGGTAGCCCGGAGACGCCCTTGATTTTATTTAGTGAAGGGCTTAAGAAACCTTTCTTATCCATACCCTATCGCACTGTTTAAAACTAACGTAGGAGCCATAGCGCTCACGGGAAGACCCGGGACGCTCACAGGATAGCCCAGGGCGCCAAAACCCTACCAGGGCTCCGGTGGATGCGCCTTTTTCAATTTAGTAAACGACTATAATAACCCCAGCTTGTCCTCAAACAGAAAGATAGAAGTAAACATAGTGGACATTTAAGAGCGGCTTCTAAATTGTTATTGATTAAAAATAATAGTTAGAAAACAGTACGTTAAGTGTATAAAATAAATAAAAGGCAGTGTTTAAAATGTCCATGTTTGACCTACCACAGTGCATTTTATCAATCCATGCCAATTAACAATTATGTTATGACTGGCGTCCGCGCAATTTGCATTCATATTTTTTTTAACTTAAATAGCAATATTTAGCGTGAGTTCAAATTTCTTTTTAAATTACCTCTCCTGGTAAAATTATTAGACATTTTAATTAATTAATTTTTTTATTCCCGACCCTACTGTTATTATGTTTCTAGATTCTAAAGCGATGACTGACACACTACCTGGCCGCTTGTTATATATATATATATATATATATATATATATATATATATATATATATATATATATATATATATATATATATATATATATATATATATATATAATTATGTGTGTGTATTAGAGTTACAACAATAAACAACACATTTTTTAAATTAAAATATTTTATGAACTGATTCAATATACGAATGATCACATTCTCCCAACCCGGAAGAAAACTTAAATTTCTACAGCCACATTAATTACGCACGAACAAGCGTATTACTCTAATCGCTCATGCAGAACAATCGTCTTTAATCTGGAACACACTCCGCATTATTAAAAGCAGGAGGCAGCAGAATGGAACGTCCATTACAATTGCCCCCCCCCCCCCTTTAGATCCAGCTGTGAAATAGGGACATGATCGTAAAACCGAATATAGCGACCTATTATGACACCCTGGGGTGAACTATTACATTTGCAACCCCCTCTCCCATTCATATTTATAATTATTCATGCAGGTGAACCCCCTCATCGTTTTAAAACATTGGTGGCCCTTGTTACCAGTCTCAAAGTTGTTACAATGTTGATTTTCGTGCCACACACTTGGATTGGTGTAGACAATAGTTAAATCAGTGTGTAAAGGCTTTGTAGCGGCTGATTCTGTTAACTTTGATTGTGTGTTTAAATAAATACTTCAGTTAAAATAAGATTTTATTTTTTTTTCTACCCCTTTTGGCGCCCATCTAGGGTCGGACCCCGGGGTGGCGGCCACTCCCGCACTCCCCTAGCTACGTCACTGAATATTCCCTTAAAAAAACCTCAGATCCAAACAAAACATTTTGGCTATATTCTTTTTCAAAGGTAATCGAAATATAAACACGAATCCTTTTTCAATGTTGACAGTACAAACATGAATGTTGTATTCGTTAAATACACGTTAAATGATGTGTCATGTTTAGACATGCTAGAAAAACCGTGCCAGCCACACAGAGTTGACTTCTAGATCCTGAACAGGCTTCACGCTACCTGCATTTAACCCATTTAACCTCTCTTACCGTTTCACCTCGATGTACCCCCCCCCCCTCCCCGCCACTCTACCCCATGTCAACCTGTATTTCTATAGCAAAAAGAAAAAAAAATCCCAGTTTAGGGACAATTTTTTCTTTTCAACTTAGGGCACGATACCCTGGTCGTTCATTTAGTTAAAATAAAAAAAAATATCTTGCATTAATTAAAACGAAGGTCTGTTGCAATGTTCGTCGCTTCTCTTTCAGTAGAATGAGCGGAGTAATTCTGATGCGTAGTAGTAAGATTGGTGGTGGTGTTTGTGTGTGTGTGTGTGTGTTTCGTTGGAAGGGCTAGTTTATATGAGGGCATATAAAGTTATAATTAGAATTTGGTTATGCCATGCCATAAACTTGGTGCATTTGAAATGTAGGCCTCGCATGCTGGTTGAATGGCACATTCTCGACATACATTTACCGATCCTAGTGTCCCTACATCCTGCTAACAAGATCTTGGAGTAACTAGCATATAAACACCAGGCAATGATTTTAGCGTAATGAAAACCGCCCAGCAGGAAATATCAACGGTTCACGTACTAAACGGTTCGGACATAAAATCCCCTTGACTTAAGTCCAGTGGAGATAAAACAACCATTTGATGTTTTCAATAATGTAGAAACAAAACACCGTATAACTAGAACATTTAATTTTTTTTATTTTTTTTCGTAGGTTCCTTTTTTTTTAGATTGAAATTTTTCTTCTTTTTTTCTTTCTTACTCTCGATAACAGACTCATTATGTCATACAGTTTAAGAAAACTTAGAAATTTTCTTTTCTTGAAATACCGAGGTCACTGAAACAGATGAACTCTACTTCATCTGCAACATGGACCGTCAGAATCGAAAGGGTACTTTACTTTTTTTTTTCCTTTTATTGAAGTCACGGCTTGTCAATCTTTATGACACAGAAGTTCAAAACGCGTTTAAACAAATAATAGTTTGTGTTCACAAGAGAATGGACAGGTTAGTCCATAGTTCGACACATGATATATCTGAAAAGGTTTTAGCGGTCTTCAATAAGAGGGTAAACAGTTAATTTGTTTAACGTGAAAAGCCAAATAAGCGGTTTTAGCAGCCATGATTAAAATTTATCTGGCAGTGTTTAAAAAAAAAACAGTTCATATATCAGCAGCTTCCAATCTTTTAATTTTATTCACTTTCCTTGAAAAATCACACATTCTTGAAATTAAAACATCGGCTTTCTACTTTCTCCATTCAATAAAATACATTTTTTTCCTCAATTAGTAGCGTTACAAGGCAAAAGTGGGGCCGGGATGGGCGAATAGTAGAATAAATGCCACTTTCGGTTACCGGAAATCGCTAAAAATATGATACAGAACTACAAATTCGATACTATACTTGTATATGAAATATCGTCAAATTAGCTGTAACGTTACTCAAGTTATCGTGTTCATAGACACAAACCATACTCCTACATACAGACGAAATTGGAAAACTAATTTTTTTTGCCATCTCATGGAGGTGTAAAACGTCGAGATTTGTTAAAATCTCGATTTCAAATTTTTTGCACTTTACAATACTTTCTCAATACTATATATACGAGAAAGTAAAAAAATATTATTGCTTTTATAATAAATAACCATTTTATAAGAAAAACGGATGTTTATAAGCATCAGTCATTTAATTTAATCTCAACAAATAAGTATCTCGACATAAAAAAAATGTGTCGCCATTAAAATACCCTTATAAATATTGTATCGGTAAAGACTGTCTCTAAAAATGCCACTATAAAATATGCCCCTAGTACTCACAGATTTTACAGTCATCAATGCCCCTAGTACTCACAGATTTTACAGTCATCGAAACAGGCACAGACCCCAGAGTTCCAGTCTCTGAGTGGCCTCTCGCCGACACCTGGCTGCTGGATGACCACGGTGTTAATGGTGCCAGGCTGGTACAAGACAGGTGGGCCGCCGTGCTAGAAGTGACCAAAGTCTGAGTCAGATATTCAGTGGTTAGTTTTAAGGGTATTTAAGGGGACAATGACAGCAGTCTTATAGAGAAGGAAGAGTTACAGATAGTTAAGGTACTGTAGGAATGTGAGAATATACATTAATTAACTTTGAAAGAAATTGTCTTAATCAGTGAAGCTACCTTAGGAATGTGAGAATCTAAAGAAATTAACTTGGACAAAAATCGTCTTAAGGGGATATGTGCGTTTTTTTTTCTTTTTTGTTACAGTTTAAATTCTTAAAGCCTCTGGACTAATGTTACCACGTTTGGCACATGAAAGTAAGAGTAAAAAACAAAATACCTCTGGGTAGACAGACATGTTTCTGGCTTAACCTGTAACAATTGTATATATATATATATATATGTGTATACATATATATATATATATATATATATATATATATATATATATATATATATATATATATATATATATATATGTGTGTATACATATATATATATATATACTCTTATGCACACGTACATATTTATACATATCATATGTGTATAATTTTATTCAATTACATTATTTTTAAAAACAATACTTACACTTTGCTGCTAACACAAGAGTAATGCCAAGAAAAGAATCGAACCCAGAACGTTTTACTACCCGCCTACCTCTTACAATCAGCTGGGGTCTGTTGCCCTCAGTGACTGCTCGATGCCTTCATAACAAACCGCGATCTGCGCACTACGTAACGAAAATTACCATATTTACCTGTCTGGACAGAGTAAATCAATCGATCTCTTAGGTAAATCTTGCTGATCTAAAATTTTCCATTCAGTAAAAAAAAAATTGGTACGGGTGTTACTAGTTTATGTAATAGATTCTATGTGTTTGAAGTGTTTTTGATGTTGTGTGGTGACTTCAGAACTCACCCTAGCCAAGCAACAACAGGGATTACTAGAAATATAAGTTACTTAGGGTATTATGGGACGGAGTGGTCTAGCGGTAGAGAGCTGGACTGCTAACCTGTACGTCTCGAGTTCGAATCCGGGTTCAAGTCAGTAGACCGTCCCTGAGTCCACCCAACTCTGATGGGTACCTAACTCACGTTAGGGATAAGTAAAGGCGGCTGGGCATAGTGCTGACCACACTATCTCTTAATTTAGCATTATTAAAACCACCGGATTATGTACAGAAAAAGTGGAAAAAATAAATAAATACACATTCGCATATAATATCAATTGCCCCTTCTCTAAACACAAATGCATCCCTTAAAATTCTCCGTTACATAATTAAAAAATAAACCGGGAGTGATCTCCCCTAAACTTTCTCGAATATTCTTATATAACTTGAAATATAGACATGACTTTTAATTACTTAAACTTTAAAAAATAGAATAGAATCTCATTGAAAAAAGAATTGCGCACCAAGTGAGCGCCAAAACAAAATGTGCATAATATTGCGCAATATTATTAGTACTTTATAAATTTACATGCGTTTTTTTGAGAAATCGAAAATAGCGTAAATTAGTACTTCCGGTCAACGGAAATTACTCAAAATTTGACAGAAGGTAGAGAATTAGATCTTTTACTTACACGTGAAATTTCATTTATCTATCTAAATAGTACTCAAGTTATAGGCTTTTGAAAAATTCAAAGTAGAAAATGTACTACTTTCGGTTATCGGAAATCGCTCAAAATTTGAACAAGATCTACGATTTTGATAAAATACTTATATATGAAATTTCATTAACCTAGCTGTAACGGCACTGAAGTTATCGTGTTTACACACAGACAGACAGACACACAGACATACGGACAAGATTGCAAAATTATGTTTTTCCGTATCAGTGAGGTGTAAAACGTCGAGATTTGTAAAAATCTCGATTTTTTTTTGCACGATTACAATACTTTCTCTATACGAGAATGTAAAAAGCTGACATTATTAACAAACAGATCAGATGCATACATCAGGAGGCCTCTTGATACCATAGCAGTAGAGAGACGGGACCCTATGGTTTCTGCTAGACATAAGGGATCCGATGTTGAGGGCCAATATACCTTGTTACGACCTTAGTTTTGAGAACCGCGATCTATTGTTTTACATTTGATTGCACGTCAAAATGTGTTTCGTGATCGCTGAAGTGAAACAAAGATTACATAACCGATATACTTCCTGTTAGCTGAAATAAGACGTTCAAAATGATATAACTTACTCGGGGGTGGCGGGGGGGGGGGGGTGCTTATATGGCGTTGTGTGACAGTTGAAGGTGTTTAAAAAAAAACAAATTTAACTAAGAAAAAACTTGCTGTTTTACCGTCTAAACTCTACAGCACTTATTGGATCTATTTTGTATTTATTAATGAAAATGCCCATTATTAATATTTCACAGCTATTTAAATAATTTGTTTCAAAGATAAGAAAACCTATTAAAAAAATTAAATTTTTAATTCACCTTAAGGCTTCAGAATGGTTTTAATTAATTTGTAATAAGCGATTTTTTTTCTAAAACGATATTTAAGAAAAGTAAACATTCCTCTTTAGCCCTAACGATCCATTGGGCAGATGAAGTAGAGTTCGTTTGTTTCTTGACCTCGGCTTATTAAGGGATAGTGTGGTCAGTGTTATGTCCAGCGGCCCACATGTTCTCTAACGTGAGTTAGGTACCCAACCGATCTGGATGGACTAAAGAACGTTCCAATGATTTGAACCCGGAATATCTGCTTTTAATCGATTTAAAATGTTGCAACGTTTTGACGCGCATGATTATGTTACCGTTTATATTGGAAGGAGTGCTTACAAATGTGTTATAACAAGTGTCGTGCCGGTCTATTGAAACGTGATATAGCTTTATGTGTTATAGGATACGAGCCGACCCGCGACGTAGCATACGCCGCTATTTAGTTGTTTTATTTTCCACTTCAAGACTACCAGTGCTGCAACTGAACAGCTGAAAATACTTTGCTTTAAAACACTATCTGTAGCTTGTAAAGGACTAATATCCCCCTTCCCGCCCACCCCATCGAAAGCAACAGTCAGTGACGACAGTTTACAGACGACAATGAAAAAAAATCAAGCAGAATTTATTATTACCTCCCCTTTGGTTCAAATCGTTTAAAAACTAAATTATCTGCCCCTAATAGCCGTCACTGATTCGACCCGTCTCAACGATTGTAAACTTTTGGCGTGAACCACAGCTTACCATATTGGTGGCTTTTGCGCATGCCTGGAGAGCGAGGCAGGGGGCAATTCGGCATGCGTATACGAAGTGGTGTCTTGCATGGTCCCTCCATGAAGAAAATTATATATATAGATGTATGTTATATGATATCTGTGTTGTATGATATGTGCACGACCCATTAAATGCTCTATGGGAGGGCGGGGGGGGGGGGGAAGGTATGTTTCTTATTTAATTACTGTGGTAGATTACGTAATACATATAAAATAATCATATTTAATAAAAAGCTTAGAAGTAAAAACAGAATTTAGTAATAGCTTTCGAACTATGCTTGCGATGATCTTTATTGACATATGGACAATGCAAATAATTTTCATTACAAATTATGGTAAATACTTGTGTTGTTCTGCGCAAAAATATTGCAGATAATTAATAATTTTCAATAATATATTTGTAATTACAAAATTCTGTTCAATTAAAGCTCAACGTGTATAAACATTAACGGCAATGTTTTAAATGCAATTAATAACAATGTCTAATAAAAAATGCTGGATTTTAATTAATTTTAACGTGATTATGTTCAGTATGATAATACTCTAATACTGTTCTATACAAAAATGTTAAATACAAAAATTGCTAGTTGCAAATTCCAAAAATACAAAATGGTCGTTGCTTTCAAAACATTTAGAATACTAACTATACAACAATTATTCATAAATGCCTCAGTATGAACATTTTTGGCAAAACACTTAATAAAAATCACTGATTCATAATAAACTAGGTAGTATAGTTTGCTGCAAGATAAAATCAAAAAGAATAAAAAAAATAGCTCTAAAAAGAGTTGCGTAACGATAAATGCAACATTTATTTTAAATTCAAAACATAAAAAGGCGAAAATCTGATTTCCCCTCCCCCCACCCCGATAATCTTTATACTCTAAGTTTCTAGCCATGCTCACATTTTGGGTGTATATTTGCGATTGCAATGTTCGCATAATTTCTGAGAAAATAAGACAGGATTATTGGTATTGTAGCCATTTTGGTAAATATATGGAGGCTCGTCAAATTCCCATGTCGTGTCCAGTCTTTCAGCTGCCACACTGTTGATGTGTATGACAGCGTTTTTGTGTTCGGCTAGCTTAGGATCTGTCATCAAATTTATAAGTTCTTGTTTGCTAAGCTGTTTCATATTCACCGCGCTGAATAATTTTTCTAAACAGTCGTAACGGTTGATTTCTTCTTCTTTAATCACCTGTGTTTCTTTCTCAATGCCTGGGTTCGCTTCTTTGTTTGTAGTGTCATGCTTGACCCAACGAACGATGGCTGGGACGACGAAATCTGGACACACACACAAGTTACTGTGTTTAAGAATTTCGTACAGATCGTCAAAGTAAATATTGACAAAATGTTCTGTTCCGGTAAGATCAATGAAGCTGGTTACCATTACATCAACGCAAGATTTTTTTACGATGCTTGAGTTGAGTAGAATCGCATTAATGTAGATATCCCAGTAATTATCTACAGTAACACATCGTGTTAAAAAACTTTCGGTGTAGTTGGTAAGGAAATCTATCTGTAAGAGGTTGGCAGCGTGCCAGACGTCAATGACGTTCTCCTTAGTCAGGACGTCAGCCGCCTTGTAAATGACGTCAAGAACCATTTGAAACGTGTCCGGGGAAACACCTTTAAGCGTGACCTGGTTCTGTGTTCTCTCCTTCATGTCCGACCTCAGCAGGGCCTGGAAGAATCCAGAGCAGGCGGACAGGAGGTAACGGTGGCACTGGAAGGTACGGCCGCCGACACAGACTGTAAAGTCACTGAAGTTCTCGCGGTTCTCGTCTTTTAAGAAACAGGTGGCGATACCAAGTGCTAACGTTGGGTTGACAGCCATTGGTGAATCTATGCTGAAGTGGATCCGTTTAAATTTCTGGTGAATTGATAATGAAAATATCAGCAAATATATGTATTCAATAAAATAGTTAGTTGAAAGTCTGTACGGTAATTTGAGCCAAACTCGCAACAATAGTAACAATATATATATATATATATATATATATATATATATATATATATATGCCTACATACATACAAATATACATATACAGATATAAATGAATTTTAAAAATAATATAAAAAATAAATAAATTAATAATAATAATATAATATAATATAAATATAAAAAATATTATTTTTTGAATTTATTTATTTATATAATTATATGTATATTTGTGTATATATATATATATATATATATATATATATATATATATATATATATATATATATATATATATATATATATATATATATACATTAACACAGAGTTTCTTCCATGCATCTCTTAGGGGGGGGCTAAGCCCCCCCGAAAATTTTTTACCGCCCCCCCCCCCCCCGAACGAAATGAAATTTATATAATTTATATAGAGAATATATACTTTTAACAGTGTCCGCCCCCCGAAGAAAGTCTACCGCCCCCCCGAAAATTTCAAGTGCCCCCCCGGAGAAAAAAGTCTGGAAGAAACACTG